TATTTGGCTGTGAGAGGAAGTCTCCAAGGTTAGCAAGTTGTTGAATCCTAATTCACAGCTCGGTTAACTGGAAACTGCAAACTTCCTGTGGTTTCCATGAGTTCCAGCATGCTTCCCGTTATCTTGCTACGTGGCACAGCATGTGCTGGTTACCATCAGCAGCAGATGCTTGTGCCCCCTGACCGTGGCCATGGTGGCTGCCAGCCACTGCTGGGCTGCATGGATTGTTGTGCACTGACTTTGCTACTCTCTGGAGACTCGGGAAATGCAGCAGGGAGCTGTGGCACCTTTCAGCACTCAGTGTCTTGCTTTTTGGATTTGTTACACCATTCAAAGGGGAATGTTTCACGAGGCAGTAGTCTTGAATTTGTTATTAATTTCACCTAGATTTAGATAAAAAGAGATTGAAGTATTTATTCGTAACAATGGTTTATATTAGACTTAGGTGGGGAAGCAAAAGGAAAGCGCTTACATACTATTCATATTATTTTCATCTGATTTACCACACTACCCCAGATGTCAAGACTTCTGTGGTCTTAGATAYCTTGTGTTCATGTTACATCACTGGAAAATCCCTCTTTTGATGTAGCATGTTAGCTTTTATAGCCAATTTTTTGGTAATTTTTTTTTAAGATTTGAAATCTTCCTGAAGAGGTCCACAGAGATTTGATCTTATTCAACAAATTTTGTCTCACTTTTAATGCAAGAGATACTCTGGCCATTTAAAAGAATTTAAACAAGTGGTGCTTAATTTCCCAGAAAATRTGACTGCCTCTTCATTAGACTGGATGCCTTCCATCCTAATTGGCTGTTCATTTAATGACTGCTTGCCTTTAGAAAGGCTGTATCTTGTCCTTTCAAACACTTGCTAATTCTGATGTTTCACTATAAAGTGTTTCCCCTATTGAACCTTCATTCTGTGTCAGTCTTTCTAACAAAAAACACCTGATACAAATATCTACATGAGGTAAATGTATTTATCTCATTCGTGGGTACTGATTGAACAGTTAGCTATGAGACACAACAGTTAACTAAGATTCTGGGAGGGCAATCACCCACACGTTTCCTGGCTTTTTAAAATAAGATTTTAATAAAGATAAATAAGATTTTGGACTCAGTCTCTAAATAAATCAAACTGACTTAACCTGCTTTGAATCYACAGAATGAGGTCAGAGGTTGGCTGTGTTGTCCATTTAAAAATGGACAAATAATTGTGTATGTGTACATATATATTAAAAAAAAATGTAGCTGTTTGGCGGTTTTTTTCTTACTCACCAAATGAAAATGTTAGAAATAAAGTCTAATCTTGAAGTGTACAATTTTTGTGTCTTAGTGGAAAAAACAGACATTTTAGGTCAAACAAAAATGCACAYTTGTGATACATTTGCATATTTATACATTGTTCAAATGAAACTGATTGATGCCAATTATTTGTGAATCTGACAGCTTTGCCCTGCTTCAGCTATACTGATATTACTGGCTGACAAAATAAACTAAATTTAGCAGGTGAAAAATATTTATTCAGTAGTTGTAACAGACCCAAGTCTCAAAAAAATCATTACAATAATAAAGAATTGGGTTTTGACAGCTGAATCACTGACTGGAAACAATTGTTTGGAAAAAAAAGAGCAATTTTTTATAAACATAGTCAGTGGTTTACAGTAAAAGGCATTTCCCCAGAATAGCTTAAAAAATCAACCATTCAGATGCACTGCCACAAACTAAAGAACTTAGAAGTTAATGTTTTTACTTAATGTTTTGATTAGGCACTGTCTCTCCAGCTGTTTGAATGAAGCAATAACAAGTTTCAAAGTACACATGTCTCTAATTATGCTGAATGATTTTTAAAAAAAMCAACTTCCTTCTTAGTAATCTAAATATATGCATTACTGTTATTCCTTAGAGTTTTTTTCCTTTTGTTTGTTTGTTTGTTTTTCTTACATATGAGAATAGCATGCAAAACTTACTACCTCTCTAATTTACAGCACTGGAACAGTCATGAACAATCACATTTGCTTACTTCTTCTACTGTAATACTGAAATTTTAGCTATTATTTAGTAAATCCCGAAATTCCAACTTCCAAAATGATTGCATGTGATTGCAGGGGGAAAAGAAGGGCACTTGTATTGTAGTCCTACAGCCCACAGTGAGGTTCCCTCTAGGAGAAGAATTGTGCAATACAAGTTCATCTTTGGAAATAAGAAAATGTTAACCTCTTCCTTTTATTATCTCCTCATTTTTAAAAATGTGTTGCAAATTTTCTATTATTTACAAATGCCAACTTAATTTCTCCACTCATATAAATGGGTAAAGCTTAGATATCCAAATTATCTTGACAACTTGCGACGTCCTCTTTTTGGCTCCAGCTGTTGCTCTCCATTAAGATTTAGCTCTGTTGCATTTAAAAAATTATAATTTTAAAACTATCAATGGCCAACTTGGACAAGAATGTAAAACCAGCTGGTGATTTTTCTTCTAAATTCTTCCACATTTTCCATCCTCTCTAATTGAAAACATTTTTTATCTTATTTGCTGTACTTGGGCAAAAAATATTTTTCAACATGTTAAATTTTCCTTACCCAGTATCACTAAAATAATTGAATTATAGCATTTTAAAGCCACGGTGTCCCTGCAAGTCCAAGTTTGTTGTAATTTATCTTAATCTATTTTTATTTATCTATTGTAATTCCTTATAACATTTTGGTACCACCATATCTACTCTTAATATAAGGCCTGCCAATGAAACACATGCATTAGGGGGCTAAACACTTGCATGTTATGAATGCAGATTTTGCAGAAAGAGTGAAGGGATCCCTCTGGCATGTGATAACAGCACCTCCATCAGTCTCTATCGGATGTAGTCTGCACTTTGCARAAATAAATGCACTAAACATCAAACTGTCAGGCTTTTATTCCACAAGCAGGTAACGGATTCTTTACACTTCTGTGAGGAATTTGGGCATCCCTGAACAAATTCTGTTCACCAAGTTAATTGCCATGAACATGAAAATTTTAAATGAAGTGRTGAGAAGCAAAAGTCTTTTTGAAAGTGTTAAAACTAATCTTCTGTTAAAAATGCAAATACAAAAAATCTTCTAGGAAGGTCTGACTCTGACTTGAATCCAGAGAATTTGAATATATCTGATTTCAGGGAACTTAATTCTTTTTCCTTTTTGCTTAATATATATTGGAAAACTGGATCATAGGTAAAGTGTTCTGATGACTTCAGTACTGTTTTGGACCTGAAATATAAACCAGTTAAATACAAATTTATTTGCTTTTGCTGTTTATTACCATAATTCATAATTTTATTATTCTTTTTTTCTTAGTTCTACTGACTGCATTATTGCTATTTAAACACATTGAATGAATTATTTTCTCTTTGTTAATAYTTATCAGCTATTGTAGCTGTCTTCAGAATAGTTAGTAAATAACACAGCYTACAGATGAAACATTCCTTAAAAACAAGATGCTGTACCCTCTTGTGCTCAGCGATACAACTAATTAATGTTATTTAAAAATATTGGCAATATGAGTTGCATGATCCAGCTTGTGAGCTGATGCTGCAGGATACAAAGTGGAAGAAAGTTCTTCTAGTGAGTGGCTCCCTGGAAGTTGGTAGATCAGGGGTGAGAGTGTTAAGTCCTCAAGAGTCTCCAGCTGCTGTTGTTAATTTATTTTGCACAGCCCTCTGACTACAGACGAGTCATTASTGGTCTACAGCTCCTGCCCAGGGCTTAGTTACTCGTATATGTTTTCTACCACATGCCAGGGTCTATTCTGCTGCTTCTCCTTCGTAGTCTGGATCTCATCCAACACCCACCTTGTATCATGTAGAATCACTGGATAGCCTGGGTTGGAAAGGACTCTAAARATCATCTAGTTCCAACCCCCCTGCCATGGACAGGGATGTCTTTCCTAGACCAGGTTGCTCAAAGCCCCATCCAGCCTAGTCTTGAACACTTCCAGTATTGGGGCATTTATAGCTTCCATGGGCAACCTGTTCCAGTGCCTGACCACCCTCACAGTAAAAAAATTATTCCTAATATCTAATCTAAACCTATTATCAGTTAGAATCCATCCCCCCTCTTCTGTCACTACACATTCTTGTAGAAAGTGTCTCTCCATCGTTCTTGTAAGCTCCCTTCAGGTACTGGAAGGCCACAATTAGATCACCCCTAAGCCATCTCTTTTCCGGGCTAAACAATCCCATCTCTCTCAGCCTYGCCTCATAGGAGTTTCCAACAGGTCTCACATTCTTTCGCACCACTGGGCTCACCTGACAGCGCTCATTAATACCGTAAATCATTAACGAAACAAATGCAGTACATCACGCACTGCGGCGTTGAGTATTTGTTTATTGATCTGCATTATCGCAGCGAGCTCCGCAGCTTTTCAGATCCGCTGTGGATCCGATTTCGGCTCGCTCCCAGGGCACAGCCCGAGAGTAAAGAGAGCGATCCGCACGGCCCGGGCTGGGCTGGCAACCACACAGGATCCCAGAACCAGTCAGAACCAGTGGAAAAGACCTCCGAGACCATCGAGTMCAACCTGTGACCCAACACCACCACGTCACCCAGACCATGGCACTGAGTGCCACATCCAGTCCTTCCTCAAACACTTGCAAGGACGGTGACTTCACATTCCCCTGGGCAGCCCATTTCAGTATCTAATCACYTTTCCCGAGAAGAAATTCCTCCTAACGTCCAACCTAAACCTCCCCTGGCGCAGCTTGGGGTTATATCCTCTCGTCCAGTCGCAACGGGAGGGGACATGCCGCGGTCGGGCGCGGCGGCGCGGTAACTTCCCGCGGAGGGACGCACCCACCCCGGCGACTGACTCGGGAATGACTCTACATGTCCCTAAACCTGTACCGGTACGTGCAGGTCCATCTCCCGCCTCCATCCCCCGTCCCCGTCCCGTCCCCGCCCCGGCCGTGTCCGCGTTTCCGGGCGGCGAGCAGCAGTGCGCAGGCGCGGAGCAGTCCTGACCGCGGCCCCGCCCCCGGCCCCCGGCCCGCCGCGTGTGGCGCGCGCGCGTGGCGGCCGCGGCGGGATGTTTGTGGCGCGCAGCATTGCCGCGGATCACCGCGACCTCATCCACGATGTGTCCTTCGACTTCCACGGGCGCCGCATGGCCACCTGCTCCAGCGACCAGAGCGTCAAGGTGAGCGGGGAGTCGCCGGGCCTGGTGCTGGGGCAGTGYCGCGCCACCGGCCCTGCGCGGCCTATCGCGCTGCGGGCGCGGCCCGGCCGGGCCAGGGCACAACCGAGGGCTCGGTCCGCGGGAGATCCTGGAGCGGTGTCGGGACGTGCGGGTAGATCCTGGAGTGGTGTCGGGAGGCGTTCGGACACAATGTACGTTGTGTTTGTGTGCGAGCGAACGCGTGTAAACACGGGAGCTCCGCTTTCGACCCATTCCCTAAAACTATCCCGACTGCTGTGGCTGCTGYCGTGCCGCTTTTATTATTTATTCAGCTGAAAAAATATATACTTATTAAAGAATATTAAAGAAAGAAACTACTACTTCGTAAAGTATAAATAGTCTATATTTGTTATGGGGAGAAGGTGCCGTTGAAGTGCCAATAACCAAAAAGCTAGAATGTTCCGTCTGTGCCCTGGCAGATTAGGGAAAGTGTAAAATAGTAGAAGGCTTAATTTTAACGTTCCTTTAGAGATAATAAAGTAGTGCTTTATATTTACTTAAATGAAAAAAATGAGTGCTTTTTCCGTTTATTGTTCTTMGTGAGAAGATGGACAAAAAGTTAGGAGTCACGTAGATAGATTTAAGGGATGTAATTAGCAGAGAGCAGTAATGTTTTTTGTTAAGTCCAGATAAATGGTTGAGAAAGTAGTTTTTTGGTAGAAAGCTGTGTCTTATGTAGGCCAGGCTTAAAAACAAGGGAGCACCCCTTTCTCCCTGACCACAGACTACAAAGCAAATAACCAACCACAACATTAAAACGGTCCTCCAAAAAGTAATCCAAAAATATGTGGATCTTTGGTTTGGACTGATTACTCAGTTTGCAATTTTTAAGAAAGATGCCAAGAGGTAGGTTGAACACAGAAACTATATTCTTTAGCAGTGTAATGTTACTTTCCAGTCGTAACTGAATYCTTTATGAGACTATTTAGAAGTTTTCCTCCAACCACAGGGTCAGCGTGACCCAGGCTGTTTTAGAGGTCCAGAGTGGTAGAAGTGTGGTGACTTTCAGTGAAGCTTTTAAAGTGAATGAGTTACAAACGGAAATGGATATCAGGCAATGTCTTTCGTTTCGTTACATTTGTGACTTTCAACATAGTTTTTCAGTGAAGAAGTTCATAAATATAAAGATGTATGGGAAATCAGGAAAGCAGAAGGTTCAGTGACTTGCATGTGTTTGTAAATCAAGGCAGAAATCTTACAAAGAGAAACAAGATCTGTTCCCTGACTGCTCTGACACCTGTTTTGCTGTACTGCTCTGCTTTCGGGACGAGTGCTGGGAGCTGCATTAGGATTTTCCAACCAGAGCTGAGCACGTGAGGATACTCAGGGCTCTAGAATTAAACAGAATAGCGTAGTTGGGGAACAGAGTGAATGAAGTATTGAGAATGGTGATAATTTTGCTTCTATGTATGTTATTGTTTAAAAAAAGATGGAAGTCATGCTGTAGTGGATTTTGCAGGTGGTGCCTTTTCTCCCTACTTGTAGTAGGGATATTTTCAAGGCTGAGTAAAATGCAGTTGTGTACTGAACCAGGTACTGTTTTTTTGATGAAAATGTTTAGTGCAGGGAAGTGTGTGTATATTTTTATTTTTATTATATATGTGTTTATGTATTATATATATATGAATGGCTGTGTCTTTAAACTGCTAGTCAGTACACTTTATTTACAGATTGTATATTGTATTTTGATTTCTCAATAGGTCTGGGACAAAAGTGAAAATGGAGATTGGCATTGCACCGCCAGCTGGAAGGTTTGTAATTGTAAAAATTACACAGACATAACCATCATTTCTCTTTCATTTTTGARGAAACATGCTTCATTTCTGCTGAGTTTTAAAGTAGAAATGCTTTTGGCTTGCTGTAGATTCCATATACCTTGTGTAAAATACTCTTTCCTTGCTTTTGTGAAACATCTCTAGTGCCTCTCACTTAAAGCAGAGGCTAACATGCAGTCTGTTCTTGTTAGTACTTAGTTGTGTTGGCAGACTYTGGTATCAGGAAACATAGCAGTGACTGGTGTTTAGGGAGTTGAAAACAATGCCTWCATTTTTAATTGAATATTTCCCTTTTGCATATAGTAAGACTTAAAAAAAATAAAAGGGGAAAAATTAAAAGGAAGATGTCTGACTATTGAATGTTACAACATCTGGCCTCTGGTTTTTGTTCTCCAAAACCTKTCTGAGAACTGTGTCCTGTAGTCTCTGCTTCAGCTGGTCAATTAGTGCATTCAACTTCTGAGTTGCTCTTAAACTTGTATTTAATAGGACCACAATGCATTCATCCCAGTAAATGGAAATGCAGGRGAGGCTTTTGAATTCCCCGTCTCTAAGAAAGGAATGTTGACTAGGTATGAAAGAGGMGCTTCATATTAAAAAGAAGATTAATAATGCTTTGCAAGTGCTTTTGGAAAGWACAGGCGAGGTAGAAGTGAGCATGGTAATGGCTGAAATTTGACTGAGAACAAAGCTGTACATTTTGCATCAAGGCAGAATCAAAGTTTGGAACTTAAACTTTGATTAAACTTAAACAAGGATAGATAATGCCTTGAAATACACTTGTAACAATTGTCTTTTGAACACTAAATGGTAGCACCAAAACTTTGCAGTCTTGCTTGCAATAAAGAACTGCAACAGCTGCTTTGTAACTTTGTATAAAAGAACGTTGGTTTCAAAGGAATGGTGTTACTAATTCCTAGAATTCCCTCCTGCTGAAAATACGTGGTCCCTCGGACTGAAGCAGTAGTAAGTATGCTTGTCCACAATGTTTTGATGTTATCTTGCAGACACATAGTGGATCTGTGTGGCGTGTGACATGGGCCCATCCGGAATTTGGGCAGGTCCTGGCTTCCTGCTCATTTGATAGAACAGCAGCTGTATGGGAAGAAATAGTGGGAGAGTCAAATGATAAACTCCGAGGCCAGAGTCACTGGGTGAGACTTCTTTTCTGTTACTATAAAGKTCCTGATTTTGACTATGTTTTGTCTATTTGTGGCCATATTCCAACATAAAGTACAAATTTTTAAAACATTTGAGGAAAACAGCTAAAACTGGCTACATTCAGACCAATTGCTTTCATTATTTTCCATGTTTTATAATAAGATGTTCCCTGGCAAACAACTTGCAGACATGAATTCCCATCTACAGTAGAGTTAAAGTTGTGGGGTTTCTCTTTGACGAGAGATCCTTCAAAATAACACTGGCTGTTCTTGCTTATCTTTCAAACAGTATATAAAGTTGGGGGGACGGATCTTTTTGGTGGAMGATGTAAGCAATCCTATGAAATGGTGTCAGATGTTGATTATCCTTCCTTAGGGAATAAAGTTTTGATGGAAATTTCTGCAGGTCAAGAGGACCACTCTAGTAGACAGTAGGACATCAGTTACAGATGTGAAGTTTGCTCCCAAGCACATGGGTCTTATGTTAGCAACCTGTTCAGCAGATGGAGTTGTAAGGATTTATGAAGCTCCAGATGTGATGAATCTCAGTCAGTGGTCACTGCAACATGAAATCTCGTGTAAGCTCAGCTGCAGTTGTATTTCTTGGAATCCTTCAAGGTATGTTATTAAAATGATAGGGTTTACTTTATGACTGTAGCAGGAAGGCTGAACTGCTTTGATTTCTGTTTGTCCAGAAGCACTTAACAGCTTTCTGTGTAGATGCAGTGTTGTGTCCTGCTAATCCAATTACTGTTCTATTCATTAGCACTAGTCTGTGCTGAAGGTTCAGAGTACAGGCATTCATTTCAATGCATGGGATAGGATAAAAGTTGATTCTAAATCTAGAATTCATCTACATTTAGTTTGGGTGATTTGTCTTCCAAAACCTTACTAAAATAATACTAAATCCATCATTAAAAGCACTGCAAAGAACTCTGCTATGAAACTTGGGGCAAATACTACTCTGCAGATGCTTATAGAAAGCCAATTCTTCTCTCTGAGATCATCCTCTTGAATTGCTAAGTAATATTGCCTAATGATTTCACCTTGTTGAATGTATCAAATGGCTTTCAAAACAACAGAATGAAGATAGTGTTAACTGTAAATAGCATTTAACTCCTGTTTCTTTGTGATTTTTATCTTGTGGTGTTTTGTTTTCTTTATAGATAATGTGTTTGAAATTTGTCTYGTGGCTTGGTGTACTTTCTGTGGGATCATTTGTAAATATAACAATATTTGTTTTCACCTTTTAGCTCTCGAGCACATTCTCCAATGATAGCTGTAGGAAGTGATGACAACAGTCCAAATATACTGGCTAAGGTTCAAATTTATGAATACAATGAAAACACCAGGTATGTTAGCTAACAGTATATAACATTTGTGGGATCAAAGTTGTTTATAATATATGGCCTTTTATTCCTGTCATTAGATGTGAAGTGRAGTAGTAAATAATATGTTAATTTTGTTTCTGAGACATTGGGTGGGAAAAGAGAGGGAGACCTCAGAATGGTACTGATGTTAACAGAAATTATGTTGATAATTTTATTCTATGTCAGTATAGAAGTGCCAGTGTTGTTGCCAGCATTTTAAAAGGAAAGTTGTTGTTTCTGTGTCTGCTAAATTGTATGTTTAATTTTGCATAAGGAATTGACAGATGAAATTTCAATTGTGTTGCACCAGGACCTGTTTTGTTCAAAGCCACCTTACAATGATTTTAAAGGCATAACTATAGTGACAGAAAGTAGTGACACTAGTGACTAGTGTTCTGTCAAAGTTCAATTTGTACAGTCAAGAGTTCATAGACCAGAAAAAGCCAGGAAGTCTGTGCACCACCCCTTTCAATTAAATGATAACAGAGAAATTGTGTTTGATTGGGAGTGATTGATGTGGGAAAGGAGCCAAAGTGTTCTGTGGATTTTATGCCTGGCTTCAGGCAATGCTTCCAATGCATTACCAGTAAAGTTACTGTAACTTACTAAGAAAATGGAATATGTGTTTATCATACAGCAGAGGAGGCAGACAGTGGTCTGCTTAAAGGCAGGGAAAATTTAGTAAGTTACTGAGATGCAAATTCCCTTTAGATTTGTGAATGGAAATTATATGAATGGAAATCCTTGTATTTCCTTTCCCTTTTATTTACTAGACAAAAAATGTTCTTAGACAAAAGATGTTCTTTGTACTGCAATTCTTGCTTTTTTGTATGACTTAGCATACTGTAGCATACTGTACTTAGTGGCTACTGTATCTGTATATTCAATTTCTGAAGAAATCTGCTCGAAATTATTACTTAAATTTATGTTAAAAAAGTACTTTTTTTTGCAAGTCTTATCATGTACTTCACTCTTTTTTCCATTTCGACTATATCTGGTTTATATAATTTTCATCACTGGCAATTTTCATGGCCTTAAACGTTAGTTTCTTGTTCTGTACAGGAAATATGCAAAAGCAGAAGCTCTGATGACAGTCACGGATCCTGTGCATGATATCGCCTTCGCTCCAAATCTGGGAAGATCCTTCCACATCTTGGCTGTAGCAACCAAAGATGTGCGAATTTTCACACTAAAACCTCTAAGGTGAGCTTAAGAGGAAGACAGCTTGGTGTGATGTGATGCATACTATACAGTCTTGTTTGAATAGTCTCTGCAAAGTGAAAGCAATAACTTACTGTATGCAGGATTGTTTTTGGCAACCTGATTTTTAAGGTGACAAGACTGAGTGTGTGAGCATGTCTATAATTTTGTCTGAATACGTAATCTAGTGACAGTTGTTAYATGAACTTGAAAGATGTCCTCCCTGACATCATGTTCAAGCCCAGACCTTTGAGCAGTTGTGTGTACTCTCACTTTTCTCTTAAACAGGAAAGAGGTGACTTCATCAGGAGGATTAACAAAGTTTGAAATTCATATTGTGGCACAGTTTGATAATCACAACTCTCAGGTGTGGCGAGTGAGCTGGAATATTACAGGCACAGTGCTTGCCTCCTCTGGTGATGATGGCTGTGTTAGGCTCTGGAAGGGTAAGCACTGAAACACATTAACTTTGTAATCTGATGAATATATGTGAGAAATTGTACTGAAAAAGTAATTTTGGAACGAGTATTCATTAGGTTTGTGAGAGGTAGATATTTTTTTCTGTATTTCTGTTCAGGAAAAATAGAATTCAGAAATTCTTTTATTTGCTGGAACACTTGCATGATWTAGGCTGCTGTGAATAGTTGTTACTGTACTCTGAAATTGTTTCACCAGACTACAGCTACATAAAGTTATTATTTTAAAAAGTAAGATAGATAATTTCCTGCTGCTAAACCCAGAAAATCTACATTCAGTCATAATGTCCAGGCAAGGTGGCTTTTTCCTGTTTACATTTAAAAAAAAAACCAAACAAACGAGTGCGCTCCACTCCATGAATCAAACAAAAACAAAATTTAAAAAAAACAAAAAAACAAAACAAAACAAAAAAACAAACAAAAAAAACCCCAAAACCCCAAGAACCACCCCCCCCCAAAGTCAAAACCTAAATCCCCACAACAGCAACAAAAACCCACTGGCAGTTTCCTTACACATTCTCATTTGTTCCTCAGCATTTTAATAGAGGAAATTGAGTTTTAAATTACGTACAGGCAGAGAGTATCAGGCAGTTAAAAGGCCAGATTCTCAGCTGTTTGGAATTTATATATTGATATTGAAGCTCAGTTCTGATTGACACCATGTGTGTATAGCAGTTGAAACGTATTTGTAGGAAAAGTTGAGCTTCAGAAGAGAAACTAACAGTTTCTGTATATCTGTATTTGCAGCTAATTACATGGACAACTGGAAGTGTACTGGTATACTGAAAGGTAACGGGAGTCCAGTGAATGGTAGTTCTCAGCAGGGAATTTTTAATGCCTCTCTAGGTTCAGCCAATACAAGTCTACAGAATTCACTAAATGGATCATCTGCCAGCAGGTAGGTTAATTAGTAGAGACTGATTTTCAGTAAATAGTATTTTCTCTGCATCTTCTTAATTTCATTTAGCTCTCATATTTGTTTTACGAGTTTTTAAAGTGCAATGTCATTTATTGCATGAGTACATCTACACGCTCTTCTGGTTTTGCTCTGAGGTATTGTCTGTTATGGCAGTGTAAAGAGGAAAATGAACAAAACACTAAGTCATACTGAATCAGTCTGTATAAATGAGCAACGTAAACAACTATTTTCACTTTAAATCCTTTCGCATTATTTAAAACAACGTTTCTGAAATAGTCTCAAAGAAGGAGAAGCTTCGTCATACTGGTGTGTAACTCCCCATTTGTTTTAAATACATGTTTAAAAGTGATGCAAAAATACCAGCAAAAAAATTCTGTTTTTCACTGGGATAATGTAGCAGAAGGGAAGGAGGAAAAGCTACTTCATAATTTATGGTTTCAACAATCAAATGTTAGTGTTAGTTTGCTTGGTTTTTTCAGGTATGTAGCATCAATTGAGTAAAAGTTTTGTGGTTTTTTTAAGCTTCCTCATATGGCATTCATATTGCAGATAATTTGCCTTAATCTCTGTTAGGTTTTTATTCTGTAATAATTGCTGTTTAGTGGGTAAGTTTTACTGCTTCTTCTGAAAAACATTTCAATTTGTGCACACTGAAATGTAGAAATATGCTGAGACCTGCATCTGCGTGGTGCAGCATGTACAATCAGCTTTACAGTACTGTAAGTCCTATGTAAGGGTGAGATCTGGCCAGATTCTATAGTAGCAGTTTCCAAGTTTTGTGGCCACCTTTATTTGTTTCAAATGCCTTGGGAAAGCTTCCCTTTCCATCCATGTGCAGCTACTCATGTAGGGATTTTTTCTTTTGGAATACTTATCAGTAAAGTTTGCTTTTGGAGAGTAGCCCCAGCCTGCCCCCTCCTTCCCTTTCAGCAGTTAATCCTAAATGGCAATTCAAGATGCCTAACCTTGTTGAACGGAGAAGGATTTTCACATTTTCCTCACAAGATAAATGGGAGTACAAGAGGTGGTGATGGGCCTGATCTTTACAAGAAGGGGCAGAAGAATGATGTGCATTGTGGTTCCAGGCTCTGCTTGCAATGGAGCAAATGAAATGTAGCCATGCCTTGGAAATGGTATATCCAGAGCTGTACAGCTGTATTTGCTTGGGTTCCTGTTGGGAACTACAGGCTTAAACTCCTTTAGCATAGGGTGTGGTTTTACAGTCTCCTTATCTAAGACTGCTGCCAGGAAGATTACCCTTGCCCTCCCCACTCCACCCTACTTCATTCCATGGGTGACCCTTCTCTTGTCCCTGAACTTGGTAAGCCATTGTGAAACTGAAACTTCTAGCACTGTTTTATACTCCCTCCATTGCTATGTGTTTTGGAAGGTGTTTTGTTTTGTTTTTTAATAAATTATTCTTGCCTTCAATTTGTAACAAAATGTGAATTCCAGAATAAGTCAGTGGCTGTGGAATTTCCAGACATGGTGTCTTTTCCTAGGATTGAGCCTTACTATAAAAGATACACACTTAACTATATGTTTTCTTCTGTAATGATATTGGCTTGAATTCTCTAAGTGCAGTTGCTAACTTCTGTTAAGTATTTAACATGCTGATAAAGATTTATGTATAGACATTTGACTAAATAGGTATCCTACACGTAATTTATTTTGTCTCTAACTGTACGTGCTACGTTTCATGTCTATATAGTTAAACACTTAAAACAGCTAAAGCACAGGTAGATTTAAAAAAGATTGTAAAAGCACAATGACCAAACTGGATTTGTACTCAAAATAAATTTCAGAACAGGTGATGTAGATTGTTGGGAAATAAACAAGTAGGGCTGTATTATTATGTTGATGTAATTATGTGTCGAGATTTATGATACAATTTCCATTCTCCATTTGTATTATGTCCTTTTTAACAGAAAGCAGAGCTGATACCAAGCTAACTGGAGTAACTTTGGTGTTTTGCTGCTTGTTGCATGCACACAGGAATGGAAAACGAACTTCTTTTTCCCCTCCCCAACGCCGTTTGACCTCTCCCAAGACACCAGCAGCCTGCTAACTACTAAATGCTGTTCAAAAAGCCTTTTTAAAACACGTTGTGTGTGTTTTTTGTACTAGCCTGCACAGTTTGATACTGATGGAATGCCTGATAGAAAAATATKTGGAGAGGCACCTGGTTTGGAAAACACATAAACAACCCACCCAAACCCCAAAACTTCCATCAGAACATATTTTTGAAAGCTTGTTAAATTAAAAGATAGTTCATGATYAAAAGCAAGAATTTTTGTCCTTGATTGGGATGGGAGGAGGGAAATGACCATTACAATAAYTTTCATTAAAATTGTTTTGAGAACCAATTTGTTTTGTATTTCAGAGTGTTCAGCATTTGATTAAGGTTCCTAAACATTACTAGGTTGTAACTGCTTTGTAATATATGCAACTGTTCATTTTAAAGGAATRAGAAAACTGTTTTGACAATTGTACAGATGATGGCTTTTAGCAGTTTGGTATTGCTTCATTTATATTCTTTAGTATGACTWCAAATAAATGTTTTATAAGTACTATCGTACTTTCTTCATCTTAAGAGAAGTACTTTTTCTGATATGTATTTGTACATTCTTATGGTAATAATTACATGGAGTACTTAACTTCTCTAAACATAATATCCTTAAAAAAATATAAACACTTTAGCCATACAAGGATATAAACCAAAATGCAGCTTGTTGTCAATTGTCCCATATTTCCAATTATTAACTAGTATCTAGTTCCTTGATGTAAGTCCACAGAATTGTAAACAAGACAGAAAATATCTGTAGGTATCTAAATAATTATACTAAAATGCACGAGTGTTACGGGTAAGTTCTAATAAAAACAGCAGCAAAACAACATGGAGTGGCATAATTCTCAATCTTGCGTTCACTAAGAATCTTGAATTTACTCTGAGAATTTTGCAGAAATATGTAAATAGATACAAAGACTGTATTCAAAGTAGTTATTCTCTGTAAATGTATATTATTAATGTAAAAACAATGAGGTTTTTACGTCTATTTTAGAAATGCTGTCAAGTTAATCTGAATTAGACRCATATGCAGAAAATGTACTTTGATAATATTTAATGTATATTTTGTGTCAYGAACAAAGCATTACTGAAAGCTGTTAGCAAGTCACAGAAATTCTGTGAGAATGAAAGCCTGTTAATAGCTGTACTACACCATCGTTTTTATTTCCAAAGCAATCCATTCTGTTGTAAAAATGTATAYTAGGACTATGGTATTATTTTCAATGAATTTCAGTGGAAAAGACTATTATTTTGCTTTAAAGAACAGTTTCCAGATTTGTCTTGTTTTGAATTACAAGCCTTGATTTCTGCTATTATGTTCTATTGGTTTTGGCATGGATATACTAAAGCCTTTTTTTTTTCCAGCATGTCTTTTCTCCCCTTTGGTTCTCCTTGTATTTACTACCTTTCTCTTCTTTTCTTGTTTTGTTTTTTTGTTTTGTTTTGTTTGGTTTGGTTTTTTGTTTTGGTGTTTTGTTCCTTTCTTAATTGTTTCAGGTATTTCTTTCCCCCTCTGGATTCCCCACGGGCTGGATCAAGATGGTCCAGTCATGCCCAGCTCCTTCCTCCTCCTCCTCTGATAGAGCAGTCTTGTGATGCTGACACTGCCAACCTCCAGTATCCTCACCCTCGCAGACGATGTGTATCTCGGCCTCTTAATCTTTTACCTGAGAATGAAGGGGTTTAATATGTTACTTTAAATAAATKCCAAAGGCCCTTATTCTGGTGTTTGTGAATGCTTCCATTTCTGGCTGCCTTTGYATTCCTTCTCTGGTACAGAAGACTTTTTTAAAATGTGGGAACTTCATGCATGTTTTGCAAAACAAACAACATTCAGAACATATTAGTTGTATATCAAGGGACCATTTTAATTTGTACCCTTTAAACTATGGCAACMCATACAAACACTACTAGCCACGAACTACTTATGGAGTAGCTGGTTTCTATGTGTGTGTACTTCTTTTTTCTTTTCTTTTTTTCTTTTTGAAATCAGCTTAGTATGGTCTTTATTTTAATTGTTTTGTATACTGCACTGACATGTGAAACACGTTCTCAAAATTAGACATGCCTTCWAGACACTTGAATGAAGAATGATAATGGATCAGCTTGTTAAAGAAACAAAACCATTCCTGTGTGTACTGCAGCAAAATTGAAGTGTTTGGTTACTTAYGAGTTTTCCATCTTGCTGTAAAATATTTAAATTTTATAATGTGGTTGACTAATAAACTTACTCTGAAACGTCAGTATTTGTATGCCATTTCTTGTAATAGACTTTCTTCTTTTTTAATAGGTTCCTGATGAAGGAGGTTTTTTGATTCAGGTGTCCATTCTCCTAGCTCTGCATTTGTGCAGTTGTGCCATTGTGGATGTGCAGCTGCATATTCCAGGTCTGTGCTGCAGAGTATGCTCTGACTTTTCCTGTGCATGTGCTGAAGGTCTGCAAGGACTGCTAGAGTTGTTGAGTTTCACATTATCCCTCAGTTCTTTTCCAATGAGTGAATTAAATCAGGACATTTTGAAGAAAGAGTGCTGGCTTGAAAAATGTCAAATATCTTTTCTGATGTTTTAGCACAGGAACATCACTGCTGTGGATCATGTTGGCACTGACTCAAACCGGTGCAAGACAGGCAGGAGGATAATGCTGGACAAAGAAATCATGGTATTGCCCAGGAGTGGCATTACTGTATGGGATGTGATTGTTGAGATTGTTGGGCAGATCACAGGAGGAGGAAGGAAAGAGGAGGCCTCTGTGCACCAGAAACCTGAAGTGTAATAGTGTTATTAATGATGTGCTTCAAAATGGACTTACCCTATTTCCTGGACTGGACCACTACTATGAGGTAAGGGAGAGGGCAACCTCTGCATTCTTCCAAAGGGAYTGCAAGTTCTGTGAGTTCTACCTGTATTCTGAAAACTTTGTTTGCTCAGATTCATCACATTTGTTTATTTCTCTCTGAGGAGTCAAGTTTTAATTAAAAAACCCATGAGGTACACTGATGTTAGGGAGTGCTTGCTGAACATGCATTAAGGGAGGCTGCTGATGCTTTCCAGCCAGCAGGAACAGAAGTGTGGAAGGAAAAAAACAAAAGTTTTGTACCTTTTACCAGAAAAAGTTAACATAAAACCATACCAACATTGTATGGCAAAAGACAAAAATGTTACATGATTAAAAAAATAAGGTTTAAATGGGGGGTGGAAAGTAACTGTTCTTCTGAGGGAGAGTGAATAATTAAAAAAAAAAAATATTACCAGAACTATTATACTGGGATTCATTCCTAAACCAAAACAAACTTTCTGGGTGTGCAAGCAACAGAACWTGCTTTTGAAGTGTTAAGCCACTTGCAGAATTTCTGTCTTAACCCTTGAAGAGGTCACAGAATAAGCAGTTATAGTAATGACTGTTTTTTGCAGCTTCTAGCAGTGCACTGCTCACAGTTTATTCAGCATGGTCACATTATTTTCCTCTGTGATGAACGTGTCTTATTGTTAGACCCCCTGATTCCAGTCCTTACTAATAGAAACATGCTGTTAGTTTCAGTGCAAACAAGTTGTGTTAGAACATGCTGGCCAAGTACTTTAATCTCAGCAAATGAACTCAGGCTGGTCTTGTGGCTGAAGCCTGCCTTGCGCCCTGCCTGCTATTTTGTATTGACCTCTCTAACCCAGGACCCTTTCATCCATATCCTTGACTTTCCACCTCTGCTTCCTCAAACTCATGCTTCCCTCTATTCCCTTGGCTCAGGCCTGTGAACTGTACTTCTGTGCAGGGTCTGGACCTTTGGACATAAGCAGCAGAAATCTAGGAGGGAAGGAGATTATAGAAGTCCTTTGAAAGGGATAATTACAGCAGGTACTCACAGTATTTTAAATTTATCCAGCACTTTGTAAGGCTGCTCTCCCTTTYCTTCTTCTGAAAGAGTACCTGCAATAGCCCTTCTACTGTTTCTGTGCTTGGAGCACGTCTCAGCTTGAACTTCCARGTTTATAAGCTTTTGGGTTTTGTAGTAGCCATGAGATGGCTTTGGTGGTTTTCTTTGTGTGTGTACGTGGGGGGAGTTTGTATGTGGTGGTTTTGCTTTTGTTCTTTGAACATATTTGAACACGGTGTAAATTTCTGATTATGACAAAYATGGATTTTCACTCTTGTAGGTTTTTGCACTCTCCAATACCAGGAATACAACTGTAGAAGTGCAGTRTAAAACCATCCTGGACAGCACGGAATGTGATGTAGATGTTGAAGCTCTCACATGCACACAAGTGTGTTTGGAAGGCACCTGCTCTCAACCTCTACTTAAAAAAAGAAAGATATGTACACCAGCATGGAAATGAAAATTTCCATGTTTTGTATGTAAACTAAAACAAGGAGTTCCACCTCAACATGAGGACAAACTTTATACCTTGAGGATGGCAGAGTACTGGAACAGGCTGCCCAGGTAGGTCGTGGAACCTCCCTCTCCGGAGACATTCAAAACCCACCTGGACACGTTCCTGTGCCTCCTGCTCTAGGTGATCCTGCCTTGGCAGGGGGGCTGGATCAAATAATCTCCAGTCCCTTCCAACCCTAACGATTCTGTTGGTCAGCCTTATCTAARTGACTCAAACGGGACAGAAAACAAAGCTAGGAATACAAACATCTGTCACATAAATTAAAAAAAMACCCAGCCACCTAACTTAATCCGACTGAAATCTTATCATTTTTAGGCGGGAGGGGGACGGCAGGGTCGGGCGGGATGCTCAGCAGCCCTTTCTCTGGAAGATCCCGCGTTACTCACTGGTACCGGGATCCAAACCTAGCCGGCCTGAAAGCAAACACCTGAAACAAAAGACACCGGTGCCATTATCCGCTTCCCCACACCGGCCCCGGTTGGAGTCAGCGGGTGGCTCGAGCCCGTTCCCCGGGRAACGCCCGCCCTCTTTCCCGCCTAACGGACAGGCCGCGCCGGGGGGCGGGGCTAGGCGGTGCGCGCGCGTCTCGCCCAATCAGCGTCCCCGCCGCTTCTCTCCAAACTTTCCCCGTCCCCGCCTCCCACCGCGGGCCGTGCCCGCCCAATCGCCGGCTCCGCTGGGGGCTCCCCCATTGGCTGCGCCGGAGCGATCGGCAAAGTTCGGGAGGCGCGTGCCGCGCCGCTGCGCACGCGCCCCTGCCCCGCCTGGAGGCTGGGGGGGGGGTCGGTCCCGCGGCCGTTTCCGTCGCGCGCCGCGGGAGCGAGCGGTGCCCGCCCGGCCGCTGGGGGGCGCTGCGGCGGCGGCGCGGGGCGGATCTCGCGTTTTGGCGGTCCGTCCGTCTTGTTCGCGGGCGCTCCCGCGCCTCCTGGGACTCTCGGGAAGGGCAGAGCCCATCTSCCCCTCCTGTTTGGGGAAAAAGGGGATCACCGGCGTCCAGCTGCTCCCTCGCCTCCGGCCTGCGCGGCGGGGCGCTGTCGGTGAGCAGCCCGAGCCTTCCCGCCGCGGCCCGTGGTCACATAGGGTTGGTATCACCTCAGGTGCTCCCTGAGGGGCCGGAGAGGGAGGAAGGCAGGCGCGGGCTGCCTCTGTCCGGGCGGCTTTACAGGCTAAATATAGGCTGGCACGTTTCGCAGCGGCGCTTCTGTGACTCGCAGGAGCGCCTGTCTTTTTAGGCGGTCCACGAAGGCYGTGAAACTCCGTTCCCCAAAAGTCTTGGCGGGAGAGGACTGGGAATGGTTCTGGAACACTTTYGTGGATAAAGCGGGGGGATTGGCCAGGAATATCGGCAATGATGTGTGAGTAAAGTGCGTTGACTTTTTTAAGTGTGAAGCTGCTTGGCTCCTGCTTGCAGATGCTGCCGGGCCGGGRCTGATGGTGTTGCCGGGCCGAGTKCTGTTCCGGGCAGCCTGTGCAGGATGATGGAAGACTTCAGGAATATCGCCGACGAGACGTTCCCGAGCTTCTTGTGCCATTCCTTGAACAGCAGCGCGAGTGTCGTCTTTGAGAATGTCACTGTCTCCTCCAACCTGGGGTTACCTGTGGCGGCCTCCACTGTTGCCAGGAGCCAAGCGGGCGGTGACAACAGGTGAGGGTGTCAGTAAGTGCCACTCAGTAATATAAAAAAACARTTGAAGCCTACCAATCAGTATCTCAGTAATCATCAAACATAGGATTGTCTGTATTGCCAGCAAAAACCCTTCTTTTGACTCATAACTGGAAAATTACTTAGTATTTACAAAAATTGCCCTTTGTATTTACAAAATTTGCCCTTTAAGAGTAATTTATTTTTTAGATTGGTRACAGTCAAGTTTCTTTTAACTCAGCCCTTCAGCTTAGTATATTCAAGTTTGAAGTTGTGTAGAGAATAATACAGTTTTTACATATGTGTTCTCTTAACTCTGCTGTTCACTAAACTTACCTGAGTCTAGCTCCTTTTAGAATGTGTAAGAACTAGTGTCATGTATAAGAATCAAAAGGTGCTCAGCGAGGAGTAGAGAGAGGAAAGAGTAAACATTTGAAGCCTTGCAGTTAACTGCTGTCCCGTTACTTAACAACAAGTAAGATGAGACTTTAATACCCTGTCTTTCCAGAAGAGTCTGTTTCAGAAGCACACCACTAGCCACTAAAAACTGTAACATGGTGTTCCTCTAAAGAGCTGCAGAAGACTGGAGAGGATCATTCTGGGTATATATGTGTATCTGTAAATACAGATTAGCTAAAAATTGCTAAAATATTGAAATAACTTAACTTATAGGAAATAAGTGGCCATCAATATGTTTTTCCCCCCATTTCTTTGGAAAACAGGAGCATTGCATATTAGGATGACTCTGATGTGTGTTTTTCCTCTTCATGTTTACAGGCTTTCTAATGATTGTGCATCCTATTTAGAAGGGAAACATTCACCTTTATCAGGATGTCCTCACAGCAGTCAGTCAGATCCTGAGCCAATGGAAAGATTTGCCCTCTGCTTTCGTGATGACATGTAAGTGAGGCAGTTGAAATCTAATTCTGTTCCAAAATGCAGATAYCAGTAAGTTTGTGTATAGATTTATGTGTACTATATGGGTGATTATTGAATTCAGCATCTTTTACTACTGTCCTGTGGTTACTGGAGAGCTGAGCTGTACATACATTAGCCTGTTAGATTACAGTGTTTGGCAGCCTGGGCAGCTTTTCCTACTAAAACAGCTCTTCCATGTTTTGTGAAGAKGAATAGTGCCAGGCCATGTGGAAGCACCCTCTGCAGTGATGCCACTTAGCCTGTGCAGCCCTACACGAGCAGCATTCTGCTGTTTGAGTGAATAATTGGGACTTCATGTGCATGATGGGAATTAAGCTTTAGAAGTGATGTTTCCTAGACTGTGAGGTTTTGCCTTGTTGTCACACTAATTAAAAATGACCTAGGCATAATTATTTAATTGACTTATCTGAATGTGGCTGCATTTACCTAGTTTATTTTACATAATCTAGAATTAARATGATGTTTCTGGTTCATGTTCCGTGTGTGAATAGCATTTTGCACTCATTTAAACACGTTTTGAGTAAGTGTCAAGCAGTCTGCATACAGAAAGGAACAACAATTTCTATTAAATTTGCCTTCTTTGTAGCCTCAGCGAATAATGAATGTTAGTGATACACTTGAGAAAACATTGCTGAGTGGTGCAAGTGTTGGTAGTTGTTGCATGGGTTATTCTAACTAAAATCAAATTTGTTCCTATTGTAATAGAAACTGCAACGTGTGTCCTTCTCATTGATAAAATTGTACTATAGGCAGTATGTCCCTATCAAAACAAAGAATATAAGATTTGAGAGGGAGTTAAGTTAATATTACTTGATCATACTCAAGTAAGAAAACAAAGCAGAACATGGAATAGTTGTGTTTTAGACTTTCAAATATTAGTTTCATTTATTTATTTAAAGTACTGAGGCAAGAGTATGGAAATGTTAACATCTGGCATATCTGCCTGCATGGAAGTTCTGTAAGACCAGAAGTGAAGGATAACTTTCCTACATAATTGTAAACRCTGCTATTTAACTACATGTAATTTCAGTAAGTCGTGTTCATTATAATTTGGTCCCTAACTTAATGTTACAAAGGCATGGTAATATTTGCCAAGTCCTTGGCGGACTTGGCAAAATCTTTTCTACTATTTGACTTGGTCTCAGATGGATTATGGAACTCGGCCAGAGTAGACTCTTTTGTACTTACACTTTCCCCTCTTTTTCCAGAAAGGAAAGAGATGTGCAAATAGGTAGAGAGGGATATGTTGCATGAAATATTACTGTTTGTTTCACAGTTCAGATTGTGAAACTGAAGTCCTTGTAATCTTGATATGTATTTCTTTATTGTAAAATGACAGGTCTCTAGAGTGTATCCTATTGGGAACAACTGACTGAGACAAAGTAATTGGAGAATTTATCAGATCTTTATCTTGAGAGATGATGGTCTATGTAGCTCACTGATTTTTCATTGAAACAATTCTCTTTCTAGGGAAACTGCTACACAAATTGAAGAGCCTCAGCCAACTCATGTTAGTTTGAAAGAATCCCACACAATATATGGAGAGCAAGCTCAGAATATCATTGAGCATTCAAATCACAGTCAAGGTACCTTGCGTGAAGATTTGCCATGTGAGCGATTGGAAGGTATTAAATTTTGTGAAAAATTGTGTACTTATTGTCACTGKAATTAGCTTTTTATGCTACAGATGTCTTCATTTGACCCTTTCACTGTTCAGTAGCAATGGGTTTTGAAAGTAATCTCTTGGATTTGAACAAACTGAAAAGAGAGAAAGCTTGTGGTTGACATGATCTTGGACTTTTCCTCAAAGTACAAAACTATACAGGAAGTYGGTGAAAATAATGTTTACTGTATAGTACCATAAATAGAATGCCAGTAGTAATCTGATTTAGTTCCAGGAACTTTGTGGAAGAAGTGTATGTAGCTTTTTCTCTGCCCCTTCTATTTCAGAAGGTGTAAGGCTGCAAGGTTATATTTTAACTAGCATTTCTTCTCTTGCCCTATTCTAACCTGTAATAGATGTCTTTAATTGCTGCTGGAAGTGTTGGAAACATATTCTTCTAATGAGTCATGCATGAAAAAACAGTTTTTAATACTTGCTGAGAAAACTATACCTTTTTTGAAGTATGGATAGAGTAGTGGAAGCAAAAGAATATTCAGAARCTTACTTTAAAAGCATGGCTACTGATATTAAACTTGCCTGGGGTTTTTSCTAATGCCAGTTCTGTGATTAAATTCTCCTTGTCCCTCAAAATTCAGTAAATATAGTTAGTAAATATATATTTTCAGTTTTTATTCTTTTCTTTGAGTATTTTTATAGGTTTTTGTGAGKTGTTAATGATTTTGACAGATAGCATGTTCAGTTAAAAGTATTGTGACATGTAATATAAATTCACCCTTATTAAAAAACACTTCTAACAGGGAAGTGTTGATTTCAGTCATTTGTTACTGTAGTCTTGAGGAAGTGGCAGTAACTATGGCAACAAAGTGATAATTCTTTGGAAAGCTGAGGCTGCCCAGTGGTTGGGCTTGATAGTGGCCAATCAGATTTAGTTACTTGATTTTAACTTRTTTTGAAGTTGTCATTTATTCACGTCTATTACTTAAGAATTACCAAGCTATATTGGTTGAATCTGTATGTACAAACCTAAAGCGTTCTTTGTCTTGAGGGACTTGCAACTGGATTACATGTGGATATTACACATGGACAAGTGGAAAGTGCTTAACATGATCCAAAAAAAGAATTGATCCAGTAGGTGAAATACAATAGTATTTGTTGTACACTTGTCCGTCCTTCTGCTAGTACAAGCTGGGACTGCTTACTTTCTTGCACTGACTTGAGGAAATCCTTAAGGCAGTAGGTATCTTCCATCATTCTTAGAGTTCTAGAGTATCTTCTCTGATAAAGCCCTGCCTTTTAACAAGATCCTTTAGATCGTTGTCATAATAACATACAAAGTTTGGTGTTGTGGTAAGGTGTATGTTTGGGTTATTTCTATGGTGTATGCCAAGACCTTCCAGAGGCTCAGTTTATTACCTTAGAGAATAGTTAGCATTTATTATGTTCTCATGTTATACTACTAAAATACTACTTATGCCGCTTTCTTATGTTTCAGATTTGCCAACTGGAATATATTTTCTTGCAGACATTAAGAACAGCAAGGTAAAAGCTTTACTGAATACAGTAAAATTAAATGTTTTGTAATTCTGATCTTGTAATAGACTTAGTTCTGTATGAGGAGGAGGTAGGGAATTGAGCTGTATTTGCTCTCTTGTACTGTGTGTTCCTTAAGTTTGTAAAGGTGCTGGCATGCCTCACTTTGCCTCCATTTTACAGATCACTTAATCAGTCCCATGGAAGCATGACTCCATTCAGTCTTTCTCAGTCGTGAAAATTGTTGTTTGCTCCTAGCATCCGCTGTCTTGTAGCTCTTTGCCAGTGTAAGGACCTTGCATTTTATCCCAGTTGTAGGCTACCTTTGTGAAGTGTCTTTTGAGGAATTTTTTGTAGTGCTTTTGGAAATTGAAGTAGACAGCCCCAGAGGYAGCAAATAGCTGGAGGTATTGACAGGTAGAGTTATGCTTCACTTGTTTTTTTCTATTGTGTTAGAGGCGCTGACAGTTTTGGGTGCAGGGGTACAATGCAGGTATGAATGGGAGGTCTCCTGTTCCTTGTAGGAAATATGCATCAAGTGACAGCCAAATGCTGTCCAATACATACTCCTTAATGTGACTGYTAGTATTTTGGTTTAGTTTTCTGTCATTTTTGTAAATGCCACAGTGCTCAGTGAGTTGCAGTTGAATGCTTGCAGTCTGTTTTCTGAAAACCATAGTTCTATTTCCTTTCAAATTCTTTAGTTTCTGAACTTGGACTTTTTTTGCTGTATGTCAAAGATGATCTGTTCATCACAAAGAATGTGAGACTAAGTCCATACCAGACATTACATCACACTGTTTTTAAAAATCGTTCAGCTATAGAAAAGATAGAATATTTGCTGTTAGCTAGATTCAGCTGAAATACTACTTTATAAGTAATTCAGTTTATTCACTTGGAGAAATTTCTAAYAAATTGGAATTGTTGGATCTGTGTGCACAGTTTCTGAAGAAGCATTATTTTAACAGCATAGGAAACTACTGAGAGATGTCTTTGTACATTTAAGTTGGGGTTGCAGCTAATGAATTCATACARTAGTTAATAATTTTTAGAAACATTTCTTTGTGGATACTTTTCACAGGTTGGTTCATCTGAACCTTCTGAAAAGCTGATAGAAGATGGTATGTCAAGTGCTCATCTTAGCAATAGCCTTTCAAGTTTTTTGGAGAACGAAAAACTCTCATCTCTTCTAAGCTCAGATGAAGATGCCACTGGTAGGTGTGTTTATAACTCTTGGTAGCTGAGTCTGTAATTCAGGCTCAATGTTATTGCATAGTTGAAAAGAAAGGTTCTGTTTTAGTGAAGCACTTAATCCTGGATTGTGCTTGATAAAACAGTAGTATAACTATGTTGAAGAAAACTGTGCTCTTTGGAAAACTGACTATTTTTAAATTGTAACAGGAGCTGGCAGTTATGAAATTTGTTAGAGAAGATCACAACTGGAATTTTAATCTGAAAAATTAAACAACAGTCCTCAGTTGTGGATCAAAGATACAGGTGGCAAATGTGGACATTGATTTAATGAAGTGGTAACTATCTATATTTTCAGTTCAGATTAGTAGAGATAAAATTCTGTGGTGAAGAGCACAACATTCTGTTAAGGACTTTTCTTGAGTTTGAGTTCAGCTTTGTTTAGATGGTGCATGTGTGGGGTGACATCCAAGTTGGAAGTCTAGTTTACCTGAAAAAGCGTAAAAGTGARAGCTTGAGTTCTGTATCACTAAGCAAGAGTTTTGGATTTTCTGCGCCCTTTCCGTGGCTGCTGCAGAAGGACAAACATGCTCTTTTTCAGTAACGCAGCTGACTTTGCCCATGACATGAAGGACAACCGGGCATGTTCTTAGATGTGCCAGTGAGGAAGCCCAAGTGATCAGTCGGTTTACTGTTGTAAGATCAAGTAGCCTTGCAGTCAAGAAGGGCTACTGCATTTCTCCCATGGCATCTACGTGTGTCATGAGTGTCTTTTGAAGTTGTTTTCTTCATTCTTGTTGCATAACTTTTCTTGAGTGTTAAGCATATAAGAAAGAATGAAGTTAATAGTTTGCTGAGTATAAATACTGTTGGGCTTTTTTCCCCACTCAAGAGAAGAAAGGTACTTTTAATTGCCATCCTGAAGAGTTGGTAGCTGGTATCTGGAAATATTTGCCTGTTCAGGGTTCCAGTATTGGTGACRCTTGATGGCCTTTTTATTTTTATTACGCAATTCAGTATTCAGTGTAAATTATGGAGTTGTTTTGAAAATATGTCAGGTGATACAAAATGTCTGTYAAAAGTGAAAAGGATATTTTTTTCTCTTTCCATAGATGATGATATTGATGATGAAGAATTCTTTGATAACCAACTAGAAGCCTATTTTGAGCAGCTGATGCAACCAGAAATTATAAGAGGAGACTCCAACCTGCAGAAACTCTCAGAATGTTGTGCAGCACTGAAGCTTTCTGAAAATGGCTTATTACAAGTAGGTTTAAAGTTCAAAGCTCAGCATGCCCAGTGGCCCTTAAAAACGTTAAATGAACTTTCAGTGKTTTTATTTGTCGGTATTCTTAAACAGAGTTAGTTTTAACTGGTTTTTTKTACTTTTTCRTTTCCATAGCAATTAAGGCAACATGCTGGCACTTTTTTTATCATACTAYGAGTTTATAAGTAATCTTTTTGGTATTTTTTTTTCATCTTGGATAGCAATGTCCAAGCTGTTTTTAAGTGTATAGCAACACAGAGCTAAGAGAGTAAATAATTCTCCTAAATAATTGGTAAGTGTGTGGAAGGTAAAAGTGGGGCAGCAACAGGCTGGCTTGTGGTTTGCCTTTGAGCAACAGTTAGCTCCATTCCAAACAGGTTGCCAGGGATTGAGTGCCTTTCCATTTTCTTGGCTTTGCAGCAGTGGATGTGATCCTGGCAGTCTTATGCTTGACCAGAGTGGAAAGGTGTGATTGATTTAAACAGTTAAACTGCRGCTTCTRAAATTTCAGAAATTTCCCAGCTGACATCAGAGTTTCCAAGCTCTGTGTGGGAAGTGATGTTAACCCTGTACAAGTAGTGTGGATAGGCTGCCAGTTGCTATGGCASTACATGAAGGAAGGGGTAAGTGGTTTTAAGAGTGAGAATAACAGAGCCCTGCTCTGTGACCTTGGGTCTTCTCTGTGCAAGATGTCCTTGCTTCACTGCTTGTAGGTAGACAGTAGGGTAGGTACAGAGGGCTCTTGAGTTTGATTTGGAGCCCTCATCCAACAATGGGTCAGCCAGAAAGGGAAGAATAACACARTAGCCATGYTAAAGGGAGTGTTATAAGAGGTAGTAGGAATAAGAAGAGACCTTCCCATCTTCTTGCTGTGCATGTCCTTGGAGGCACATGCATGGATTGGCATAGCCAGGAGCTATTGTCCTTGATGGTAGGGGCTAACTAGAGGTGCTGGCTATGGCAGTGCCATATGAGTAAACAAAATATCATTATTCTCTTTGCTACTAGAGAGTTTTTTAACATTCTAGAAGCCCTTGTAGTGTTAACTTTTTTTTTTCTTTTGTATATATATTCTAGTGTAACCTAAGTATTTTATATTTTTTATTTAAAGCAGAACTTTCAGGATTCTGCCAGTTATGGGGCTGTGACAGGAGTAGACTCTGGAAATGCTAGTGATGAAGATTCACAAAATGAGGGGATAACTGATTGTCCTGTGCAAAGAGAAATGCTGGGCAGAGCAGTACAGCAAATGGTATGAAATTGCCATTTTAATTCCTATTAATCATGTAGAATAAGACTGTAGTAGAATATGACAGTGTGTTTTGAAAACTTGTTAGATCTYCAGCTAACCACCCAATCTTTCTTTACAAAAAATTAGCAATACTACTTCGGTGTTAGGCATGCTTTTCAAACATAGTCAACTTGGACTGTTTTGTATCTAGAACTTTTAGTACATACARTTAATAACTATGCTTCTGACACTTTTCAAATAATTATTGTTTTCAAAGAATTCTGTGACTGCTGGGGATGTGCTGGATTCCCACAGAGCTGCTGAGTTGCAATTAGATTCCCTGTATCTCCGGTGCTTGGACAGCCAGAAAGCTGATATCACAGATGTCCTGCCAAACCAAGAAGYAGAGTCCTCTGTCTGTCAGGCAGCTTCTTCTGATCCAGAAATGCAACACACAGGAAAAGGATTTTTGGGACGTGACAYCACTCTTGAAGTTCTTAATGCAAATGCACCTCAGGCAGATGCAACTGAATGTAAAGCTGGTCTTCCTGATACTTACCTGTCTCCAGCTGGGGGCAGCTGTGAGAACTTAAGTGTAGCTACAACAGACAAAGGTAGGATGCTTTACATACARCCTATCTGTGCAATTGTGACCATGCTCTGTTGCATGGAAAAAGAAATAGAATCGTGAGCTAGGCGTTTTCACTTAATTGTAGGAGTTGGTAAAAAAAACAATGTAGCATGAATTAATTCTGACTTGCTTTTGTTTTTAGAAACACAGATTATTGTATGTTGCACTTAACTTATTTGATGATGAAATGAGTTTAAGCTTGCAGTTCCAGCAGCTTGAGCTCTGTTTTATTAACTCGTTGCTGACTTCTGATAGATTAACTTAATTCAAAATTAAGACATTTTGCTATATCCCTTTTTATTTTAATCTGTAATACAGCATTTAATCTACCTTTCAGGTGATTTACCACACAGTATTGTCTATCAAAATGAAGAGGGCAAATGGGTGACTGATCTTGCATATTATACTTCRTTTGATAAAGAACAAGATTTAAATCTGTCTGAAGATGATAAAATAAATGAAGAGTTCATTACTGGCTGTATGTAATATTCTTCCTTTTTAGTTAACTCTTGTTGTCTGTAATAATGTTAAGTAAACTTCCTTCTTKTTTTCTTTTTTTCCACTTCAACAAATCAGTATTTGGCATTCCAAAGCCTCCATGTTTTAGATACTACAAATWATTTGAATRCTGATGCTGACAGTACTCTGYAGWGACATTGTATCATTATCTATGGCTCATAGCTTCTTTCTGTGTTTCTTACTACTCCCATGAAACGTGTTTATAAACAAAACAAGAAGCATTCTAACATTTGCCATTGGTACTCATTGTGTGAGCTAAAGAAACTCCTCTCACTTCCACAGTTTTTCCTTTAGACTTTAATTATTGTTATCCTTTCTTGCAAGAAAAGGAGAAAAGTAATTTTGTATTGCATGATGCTTATAAGAAGGAAATAATTATAAATGAGTAATTACTACAAAATCAACTAGAATGTGAATACAGTAACAAAATTTGAGAGACTTGAAAGTGTTGGATTGGCTAGCTGCTGATTTTTTTGTCAAGTCCCTTSGGAATGTCTTGATGCTAAAAAATRGTGTTGGTACTGAAAAATGTTGGAACTAATTGAGGGACTTTATGGGACTCTCATCTTCCCTTGAATTCCAGGCTTTTTGAACCTCTTTACTTAAAAAGTTATTTATTATCCTTTAACTATCTCAGACTGATCTTTGTGAGAGTCTGTATGTTTGTCATACAGGCTTGGGTAATGCACATGTAGTKCCATAGACGAATTGATTTTTTAGTATTAAAAGGTMATCTGCTCACCTGTTTCATAAGACAAATTCAAGCAATGTGTGCAACAGCATTTTTCCTAATCKCTTCTAGTTTCTAAAGCTGACATGTGGATGGGCTAATGTATTCTCAAGACATCCATRGTCCACTCAAGGTTCTTCTTCCTTTCAAAGAGAATGCTGTCTAACACTGTTTATTTTGGATAGGTGATCAAACAGGGTTGACTAGTTGAAATAATGTTTTTTCAACACTATAGTGGTTTTCTGATGGTTCAAGTAAATACCGTCCCATCATCCCACTTCTCCATCTAATACGTCAGAATTCTTCCATTATTTTTTCAAATGTGATTATATTTCAGACACCTTCCTGAATCTTAGACTTGAGATGCTGAGTGATTAGAATGTTTGATTGTTGTAAATTTTCCCAAGGCCATTAGGTTTTTTCCACCTGATGGTTTTTAAACACTCCCTGCTTTTGCGTCGATGGGCTTACCTCTTTGCATGGTAGATGATAACACCCTGGCAGATTTCATGTGGTTGGCATTTTTCTGGCTGCTARGCTGCTTGCCTGACTGCAGTGGTGGTTGACAGCTGAAGGGATTTTATGTGTAAGGACAGGAGGGAAATGTTACATCTGATTCTTTGGAATCTCATTTATAACGTCTCTCTGTTGGCAAACTGTGCACACAATGTGTTCTTGTATGGAATAGTGCAGAAGTGCTCACTTGACAGCGTTGTGTGCTCCAGAAAGTCTCTGGAGAGCTTATATAGAAGATGAAGAAAGAACTGCTACTGACTGAGAGTTCTACTGGATATGACAATGTGTCTTGGATAGTGCCACGTTGCCTTTAGGAGATGCAGTTGGATTGCTCAGTGAAGATGTATTCCAGCTTTGTTTCTTTCCTCAGAGTATTGTGACTTCCCATGAGTAATTTTATGGACGACAGCTGTATTCACCTTAAAAGTTTGTGTCTGTTCTCAGCTTTTGCCCTGTGCCTTCTCTGCCTAGGGATGCTCTGTGTACAAGGCCATGTATTTTTGAAGTTTTGATGAGCTTAATGATACATTAACATTGCAATCAGGTGGTAGAGCAGTATTTCTTGATCAGTTTTTCACATCATTTTGAAGAAGAGACTTTTAAGTGTTAGTTGCTCTGTAGCTGGTAATTGTGAAAATAATACAGGTAAAAGTAAAATTTAGTTATTTGGCCTGTTAATTTTCATRGCATGTCTATGAAGTTGTTCAAACCAGTCTCTTTCTTTTGCTCCAATACAAAGGTACCACCATGATGGGAAAAATTTTCAACCCCAAATATAGTAAGGGTTTGATCCGAGTTAGCATATGATGCTTGGTTCTAGCTACTATGGGTGTAATAACCTATGAGGAGTTAGAGTTTGACTTGGGGCTAAGGCTGTTAGAAACTTCCTTTATTCACCCCTAAGTTAGTTAGCTAAATGCTGATTTTATTTGGGCTTCTAAACACCTAGCAAGTACTCCTTTAAAACTAATTTCATGTAACTTTTCTTGCCAAAATGGGATGGAGTAATTCCTAGTGYGTCCTCAACTGTTTCAGATCTAGAATTATATATGCAATTACTTTCCATCAAAATTGAGTTTAATGATGGCAAATAGTAATAACAGTATAGAGTAATTTATATCTTATTTTAATAAGTGTTCTCTTTGGTTTTAAGCTGAAGCAGCAGCTATGATTGCGCAAGACCAGGAAGAATTTGAGAAAGCACACAGGCTTGTGCAGGTAACTAATGATCTCAATATAAATCGAATAGTTCTCTAATTTATTTCTAAGTTGCAACTTCTGAAGTCTCTTTGTCTGCAGGCGGGAAAGGTCAACAGTCTAAATGCATCTGAATTAGCAAATACTTCATGGAAATCTACTAACAGCTCTATTCTGCCAAGMACATCTGATCTTCATAAAGATGCCAGCTATTTACGTTTGTCTTTGGGGGAGTTCTTTGGTCAGAGATCCGAAGCTCTTGGTTGTCTTGGTGGAGGCGGTGATGTGAAACGGGTATGTATCTAAAAGTTAATATCAAGATACAAGGGAAAGCCAAGAAAAGCAACAACTAGCATTACTTTTTCTATTTTGTAACCAATTCTTTCTCAAAATGATTTTTCTACATTTATTTAGGAAGGAAATTCTCTGTGTGTGACTGGTGTGGTTGATGTTGGTTTCCCACTGGAATTTCTGATGTGAAGTGCTGCCTGGTGTTACTGATTAATGTTGATCATCACGTTTTGGTCAGGAACTGATTATCTGTAGGATTAGAGGGAGAAAAGTATACCATGTACTGGAGGCATGTCCCAGCAAATTATCCACATAGTTGAGTGAAATGCTGCTCAGACGGGGGTATTTGAAGASTGAGGGCATCTCTGAATGGCTATTGATAATTGCTGTGCTGTCTGAGCAGTGCCCAACTCCAGTAAAAATGTAGTCATCTAGACTTTGACTTACCAAGCATACTTCTTGCATCTGGTACTTCTCTCATCTGCTGTTGGTAGACAGGATCTCATCTGTATTTGCAGACAAAAAAAAAGGTGGGAAAGCGGGTACAATGGGAAGAAATCACATATGCTTGTGTAATTCCCTTGGGTCATGAGGAATGGTTAGAGTTGGCATGTTCTGTCTTAAGCATTCTGATGCTYAGTGGCAGAGCATGCCTCCAGACAGATGATGCAAACATAAGTATTTTATTTCTTTATTTTGAGTAACTGGCATAATTGTGTCCTGTTTTCGGTTGGGATAGAGTTAGTTTTCTCCTTAGCAGTGGGCACAGTGCTATGTTTTGTATGAGAATAATGTTGATAATACACTGATGTTTTGGTTGTTGCTAAGTAGTACTTACTCTTAATCGAGGACTTTTGAGTGTCTCRTGCTCTGCCAGTGAAGCAGGTGCACAAGAAGCTGGGAGGGAGCATGGCCAGGACAGCTGACCCAAACTGACCAAAGGGATATTCTGTATCATAGAACATTCTGCTCAGTGTATGAACTGGGGAGAGTTGGCTRGCAGCCATGGATCAGTGTTCAGAGACAGACTGGGTATTGGTCTGTGGGCAGTGAGCCATTGTGTTGTGCATCACTTGTTTCTCTTGGCTGTTATTCCCCTTTCTCWTCATTATGAGATTTGTAAATTGTATCTTATGTCAGTTAATTAACTGTACTTAGCTCAACCCACCAGGTTTACCTGTTCTTTCCAATTCTTTCAGGAGGAGGTGGGGAGTGAGCAAACAGCTGTGTGGTACTTAGTCACTAGCTGGAGTTCAGCCATGCCAGTTGTTAGTTTATGTACATATGGGAATTGTGGTGTATGTGTTTGATTAGGCATTTCCATGCCAGGAAGCACATGATATTTCTTAGTGGTATGAGAGGTACATTGRGCAGACACTGCGGGCTGAAACTGCTTTGCAAGCCTATTGAACCTATTTGTCGGTTATTGCACTTACTCATGCTCTATTCTGGGATGTTCTTTCATAGCCATCTTTTGGTTACTATATTACATCTCCGAAGAAAAGGGAGCCTGTTGCTTTGCTAAGGCAATCTGATTCATCAGGAGGTGACATTGGCCAAGAGATTTCAGAGTTGTCTGAGGTGTTTTCAGGTAATTATGGAACAGCTTTATTTTTCTATGGAGCATTAAGGGAAGATGTGTATCCCAAGAATGCAGGTTTTTAGATAATTTCCTTACTGTAAATTAATCCCATGTCTTGGGTTTTTTTTTCCTTAGATGACTTAGAAGCAGAAACAAAAGAGCATGCAAATTTTACCATCTGTGAAGATTCAGGGCATAGGGTGGCTGCTGCTTCTGGAACACATGAAAACATTAATACAGAAGCTGCTACAAAAAGTAAAGCAAAGGTATTTCTCTTGTATTTTTCTTTAAAGTGCAGGTATGAACTGAAACAAAATTCAAATTACTCCAATTATTATTGTTTCTTTGAATATGGTCAATTTGGACTTTCATATCAGCTCACTGCTTTTTGTATTGGTCATTTGAATTCAAGTAGGTGCCCCTGTTTCTTAGAATGGTTTAATTAGAGTGGCATGATCCTGTAGTAAGTCAGGTATTACTATCACCATCTCATTTTCCTTTTTCTTCCAACTGCGCTGTTGGAATTGCTCAGTCTGTCAGCCCATACTTTTTCAGAGACTCATTGGCTGTTATTGTCTGAGATCAAGTTTCTGTATTTCAGCTGTGTCTTCCCCTTCTATTCTTTTAATGAAGCAACTTATCTTTAGCATGGGAATAAAATCTTTTAGTTGATAATTTAAGAATATGAACGTGGTGCAAGTCTGAAAAAAGTGTCTTTTCAGTTTGGTAGTCCTAGATACCTACCTTCCCTGCCTGGAAGTGTCACTTCCCTAAGCCTGCTGGCAATCCTCCTCCTGATSCAGGCTAGGATGCTGTTGACCTTCTTTGGCTGGCTTGTGGTCAATCTTCTGTCTGTTGGGACCCTCAGATCCTTTTCTGCCAAGCTGCTTTCCATCTGGTTGGCCCAGAGCCTATACAGGGAGCATGGGCTATTTGCTCCTTYGGTGCTGGTCTTGGCATTTCCTTTGAACTTCTCAGCCCATTTTTCTGTCCTGTTGAGGTCCCTCTGAATGRGAGCTGACTCTCCTAGCATATCAGCCACACCTTCCAATTCCRTATGATGATGAACTTGCTGCAGGTGCACTCTGCCTCATCATCACATCATTAATGAAGTTGAACAGTACTGACCTCTGTCTTGATCACCAGGATACTCTACCAGTGAGTGACTGGTCTCCTGATGGACTTGGTGCTGCTGATCAGTCCTTTAAGCCTGGCAGATTAGCTGGTTTTCTGTCTAGTCATGGTGTACTTGTCTGCTCCATACTTRATCTGTCTTTTAATGAGGGTGTTGTGAAGCCAGACAGACATATCTGCAGGAAGACAGATGATTTCAATTCTCCTTGAATCTTTGTCCATCTGAGAGAGATGGAAAGAGACTTTGCTCTGGACATGGCTAKCTACCTACTCTATGCCCTTTGCTAAGAATGGCCAATGTGAAAACTAAAGAAGAAATCAGACTTGAGTGACAGAGAAAGTTGTGGGAATAGCTTTGTCTTCTTTCTGTAGAGGGAGATGATTTTCAAGTTGATTGGGAGGTTACTCTATATTTGGTCATGGTAGCTTCTTCTTTGCCGTTTTTTTCTGATAGGATTTTACTCCCTGAAAGATTTAGTTCTTTCAGCTGAACTAAAGTATTTTAGGTTTTTGTAAATTTCATAGGAACTAAGGCTTCCTAGTGAACACAATACTTAGTCTTTCAAAAAGCCTTTGTAGAGTAGACTTAAAAAATCATCAGAATGAGAATTATGTCTTATTGCAATGTTCCTTCTTGACAGTCAGTTAGAAATGTGATAACTGAGAATGCTAATATATTACCATATCCTAAAATGCAAACAAGGATACAAAACACTAAACAAAAATTTTCTTCGTGTGGTGCTTAACTCGTTTTGTTTTCTCGTAGGATGGAATTCATAAAGACAAGGTTGAGGACAGCTTATCTAATCATTCTGACTCTGTCTTGAGTATCAGCACAATTGCAACTGCTATTGCTAATGCTTCCACCAGTGCTGAACCTTCCCAGCTAGCTGCTATGATGATGGCGCTCTCCAATAAAAGGAAAAGAACACGCGTCCTTCCTGGAATTGTTAAAGAGCCTGAACTCACTGCTAATGAGGTATTATCCAGCAATGAGGAAAATAGTGCATTTGATATGGAAAAATACCTCAAAAAAACAGATGAGAACAGACATGAAAGTGAATGTGAGAGTGTTGTGAAACACGAAACATCTGTCCAAAACCTTACATCTGATACCTTTTTACTGGGTAAAGATAAACATAAGGATRCTCTTGCAGAAGACTTGATGAATAATCATAGCAAACAGCAAGGAATACAGAAGCRATTGCTGGATTATCTTAATCAAGAAAGTGACAGTCAGAATTTTTCTAGTCTCTCTGGTGTTCCCAACCATGAMGATGCAATTGCAGATACCGTTCAATATTCAGAAAAGTTGTCGGATATAGTAAATAGTAAACATTTACAGTCAATGGGTGCTAATGTTAGATCAGAAATTCTTAATAGAAATGAAATCCACACAAGTGGAATTCCCTTAGCAGCAAAAATGGAAGTGGCGCAGAGAAGTCCATTTGCTTACCAGAACAGCAATCTTACTAGTACATGTTGTATAAGGGAAAGTGGAGAAACTGTAGGTCAAGCAACAAATGCTGTTCCTGAACCATGTAATGATTTGGTGGAGGGAAGTACAGGAAATACTCGGTCCCTCAGCAACTTASCACCTACCGAGCAATCTGGTAAATATGTCTCAGTAAGTCATACAACAGCAAAGCCTATGCAGAAATTGAACAATGATGAGAGGAAGCAAAATGCAAAAATGGAGAAGAGAAACAAGGATGCCAGTACTCCTTGTGGTGGGAATGCAAAACATGTAACTTTTGAGAAGCTCTCCGAAACTTCCCAGAATAGTACCGGTAAGTAAACCTATAGAAATGCAATTAGCTGTTGAAAAGGCTTTTCTTGGCAGTAAACTTTTTTCCTGTTCATAAATAAATACAGTTATTAAATTCTGTTTATTTGCCAGAGCATAAACCCGTCCTGCCTGAATGTGACTTACAACCTCTGGAGGATGAGCAATATAGCTTCAGACCTTCAACTTCACCTCTGATTCACTCTTCTCCTAGTGAGACTTCTGGAACAGTGTTTTCAGGGTAAATTTCTTSGTGCACGTTATAAGAATTAGTGCTTTATGAGGATTGTTGAGGGATCATGCTTTAGTTTGAATGTTGACCATGACCTAGAATTATAGAAGATCATTATTAGTCTAAGTCTTTATTATACACTAAGCTGGACATTCTGTAGACCAATGAAAACGTGTTTTTAAACTTGGAAGTATTTCACTCCATTTGGTTCTCTGATTTGTATCATTGCTTATTGTGGGAGAAGATGGGTAAAAATATTKATTGCTTTTCACTGTTTTGTATTTTGACACATACTTCTGTCTAAGGTTTAAAGTTTTGGTAGCAACTGAAAGAACAATGTTTCTTAAATGACAGTAACAGTAAGCATCCCATAACAGTAAGCATCATAAGATTACAACTAAATTAATTCTATAGTCTTAAACATAAACATGGCCAGTATCTAATGGTTGTGTGCAGTCTCATAAAAAGATGAGGCAACTAATATCTCTGACTTAACTTTTAAGTTCATTGTTTGGTATTTAACTACAGTTTGTGTTTTGTATGTGTCATTAGAATTACAGGCATTTCTCAGAAATTAATACGTGCAGGAGTATATGTTTTTTTGCAGGCATATTATATAGGTATTAGGATTTCCAGTTAAAGTTGTCAGTGACTTTAATTGTCATGTTAGCTTGTTGAACAAAGTGGTGAGAGAGTCTGCTTACATGTGTAAGAATGAAAAAAATCTCAGCAATGAGTAGGAAACTACGGTGTGATGCCTGGGAGGTTGAATGATTTAATTTGACTTTTTAATCTAGTTAGATACAAGTATATTGATTCACCTATTTTTCTTTTAATAAGTGTGTTGTTTCTGTGGCCTTAGCATCTGAGTTCAGTTGTGGAATTCTGATGCTTTACCTATATGGATTTATATAGAATGAAAATGAGCTTTATGTACACTAAAGCCAGTATTTGTAAGGGTAATTGAGAGCTGATTTCTCATTTCTACTGACTGCATTTGATAGAATGGCTAAGTAAGTTGACTGTTAGAATAGTATAGGTAATGTGTAGCATTGGTTTTCTTGAGGGCAGCATTAAAAATATATTCTAATACTGGCACACTGTGAATCTGTTTTTCAGATCTGAAAAGGACTTTACTTGCCCATCCCATTATCAGGAATCTCCTTGCAAAGAGAATGTGCTACATCCATCAGTTTACTCGAGTCCAAGCATGAGCAGATTAACCTATGTCTCTGCACCTGGCAGTACCCATAAGAACACAGCAGTGATACATAATACCGAGACATACTGGGTAAGAWAAATCAAACAGCACCTCCCCTTTGCCCTTAAACCAAACTTCTAAAAAAGCCTTAGGGGTTTTGAAAAGCCTTAAGTGTTTTGAAACAGTTTACGATTTGTTGTGCATAGGGAAAAAGTAGTCTGCTTCTTTCCAGCTTCTGAGTTTTTCAAAAATTTTAATTTTGGAATCAACTGTGCTAAATACAGACACTGTAATAAATGCAAACATATTAAAACAATCAAAGAAGTACARACTTTTGAAAATGTTAGACTTGATTTTTTTTTTCCTCTCTAAGTCATTCTGCTCTTCATATGCAGTGCTGTGTTGTATCTTGGAATGTGCTACTGGTATTCCAGTAGGATTTTGCAGGATCTGTATCTGCTTTCATCTCTTCTGAGGCTCCATTTCTGCTCAGCTTCAGCTGTTAGGAAAAAAACCTTTCCTTGCTTTTTTTTTCTGGAGAAAAAGTTTATAAATATATAGTTTAGCTTGTACTATTTTTTTCAGGTCTGAAACTAGGATTTTCTACCTCTGACAGTCATWCTGACTGTTTTTATTGCTGTAGACAAGAATATGAGAAAAGAAAAGAGGGTGAAATTTATGTTCGTACAGTGCAGTCTTATGCTGATTAAAATAATTGGCAGTCTTTTATCTGAATTTATGCATTCCTTGGAATCTGGAATCTGTGTTATGTCTTCTGCCTTCYGAAGTGTGTGTAATTGTGGATGGAACTGTAAAAAACAGACAGACAAAACCTGAAAAGCTTTTCTGACATGCATGTCTGTGTAAATATGAGTGCTCATTCCAGGTACACCATACCTGTCAAAATGTAAGATCTTTGGGCTTGAGTGATTTCTTTGTTAGAGTGCACCAAGAAAATGTTCATGTCAACACATTTTCATGCACCTTGCATTCCTTTTTGGTTAGTGATTTGGTTCAAGGCCATTCAGTTATTTATTTTTTTTTAATCTGGCAAGTATGTCTGGTGTGTTATTAATGTGTTTCAAACACATTTTGAACACAAATCTGAAAATACAGAGCCACAGAGACTGCTGTGGAGAAAATGARCTCTATCTTGGCCAGAGCCAATGGAATCTGTCTTTAGATAGCAGACAGGTTGAAGTTGCAGGATTTTCTTTTTTCAAGGCAAGGAGCCACAGTTACAAAAGTAAAACTTGAGACAAGACAAAGTTGATTATTTATATTGGATGGCAATACCAGTAGTGATCAGGAACGTTTCCTGAACAGGCAATACCAGCATTAAGGCCTGTGTTATATGCCATATTACTTTTCTAAAAAATGTAATACTGCATGTTTTATTTGATTACTAGGATGAAAATGCTAGTGAACTGAGCACAACAATAATTCGGGCCAGCCCAACTCCTCCACAGCAGCATACAAAAGAAAATCTAGAACACCACTCATGTCAAAGAAATAGAAAAGAAGCAGTACTTAATGTTGACCAGAAACGAGAAGAAAATGAGCTTCCTGGTGTTCAAAGAAAACTTGATCATGTATTGGACCAACAGCAGGCCAAAGAAGGTTTTCTGAAGAACGAAAAGCAGCTTCCATCTATTCCTTCAAATGTACTAATAAATGATGAAGGGCTAGACCGCGTTAAATCAGCTTTACCAAGTAAACTCTGCACCTTTCAGTCACTTTCTGTCAATGCTGATTCACAAGAAGTGTGTCAGGATCAARCAAACAAAGCACAGAGACAAGGATTACCATCTCGGAATATATTACCTGTTTATACTGGATTAAACACCTGTTTGCCATGCAATCAAAACTCATCTGGTGAACAATATGTTCCTATATCAACTGTTAAATCCCTCGTCACTACCTCTGAGAGTCGAGCAATTTCTTCTTCTGTTCCCCCCTTGCTTACAGGGCATTCTCTTGCAACAACTCCATTTGCACATCATCTGGGAACTATACAATCTACTGGAAATGCAGTTCTGTCTCAGTTTCATGGCTGCAGCTCTGCAGGTTTTGGCCTTCCAGCAGGGCTTCCATGTTCTGGTATCCCAGCAGGACATGTTGAGAATCCACTTGTGGTAGGAATTCCTTTAGGTCCAAATATTGGTCCTGGCTCTTTGGGTGCAACTTCACTTTATAATCCACACACTGCTTCATGGAATAGTAATATCTTAAATATAAAACAATGTACTGGACAACCTCTTGTAGCTGGCAGAAGTGAGTGGGAGTTGTCAAAGTCACCTGGTATTGGTAAGTGTGTTTTTTACAGTGTGTTGGCAATACAGCTGTGGACAGGAATGGTGATAGCAATGTTGCTTATAGTAAATAAAATTAAGATGGTACTAAGTCTAACTACAATTACTGCTTATGCAAACCCTGTTACTAGTTTGCCTTGTTTAATGACATTCTCTGAATTCAGTGTCTATTCTTAAAGCTCTCCTAATGGTCTTAAAAAACATTTCTCATAGTTTAGGAAGATTTCAGCATTCTTCAATATTAAGTAGTTTTGTGTTTTTGTAAAGGATATTCTCATAGGTGAAAGAGAAATCCTAGCCGCAGTTCAAACTAGGCAAGACAAGTTATGCTTTTGAAATTCCATTGTATTTTATCTAGAAAGCAGAGGACATTTCTGTTTCCCATCTAGTTTGGTATTAGTAGTCAATGAAGGCCAAAACTCCCAAGAAGGCACATGGAGAGTCAAATTTGCTGTTTAGGAAGGGAAGGACAAGCTGCCAAGAGTCTTCTGTTCTGTCTGCTGTTACTCTGTATCTAGGCTTAGTTATAAACCTAAGCAGCACAAATTACTGTTTAATTTTAAAAACTTCTTTTAACCTACAATCCTGTTAGTTGTTTTTTGCTATACTTTTTTTCTGGCTAATTCTTTTAGTCTAAATGACAAGCTAGCAGGGTTGAAGATTTGAATCTGTAACAGTTTAGGCTTGTTTATTGATTGTTCCAAATCACTGATCTTTTTAGTGCATTTTAAAATAGTGAAATATTCCTTGCCTAYTTTTGTACTAACAAGATGTTATAATACTAATGTTCAAATGTTCTGAGTTGGGCCATTACTGATTAAATTGTGACCACTGAGTGTTTTATATGAGGTGTGTATGTATATATATTTATATATATTTATATATATTTATATATATATATATGTATACACTTCAGGGGTCTGCATGGAATATGTATTTCCATAAGTATTTATTTTTATGACAGTAGAACTTTAGGATGCAAATTAGAAAGGTTTGAAATTTGAAATTTCAYGCTTGTGGAAAACATCCTTATGAGAAGTGTAGGAGTGAAACACTTCATTTCCTTGCCTTAATGAAGCATTTGTCGGAGGAACTCATAAACTTGGTGGCAGCCTGAGTGCTGATTTGCTTCTGGGWACTTACAACTAACAGGAGCATATTTTCTTCCAAAGGACATATAAAAGTACCAGAAGAACTGAAGTTCCCTAATGCCTGTTGTGTGGGAATTGCATCACAGACGGTTCTTAGCATTTATAATCCAACTGACCGGTGGTTGCAGGTCAGCATTGGAATACTCAGCATTTCAGTTAATGGGGAAAAGGTAAGAGATTTTTTTTAAATAAAGTTAAATAATTCTGTAATCTTACCAAATGTAATTTATAAAAGTAGGCATTTCTGTAGACGCTGGCAATTTTCCTCGTTTTGTAGTTAATACGCACAAGAGCAATGCTACCTTCTTTCAGCCACGCCACTTGACTTCCTGCAAAAAGTGAACTTTCTGAGGCAGATGTTACAGCAGGAGATTAACTTGTGGAATTGTATTGTGTRCATGAAGGATGGTGATAGGTTTGAGTTAATGGTTTATTCATTCCCATCTTTGTGTATGCAAGAAAAGTCAGCCCTAGGCAGGAAGATGTCCATGGTGAGGACTGAKGCTGCTAAAACATTTTTGGCAGTTTGCTTCTATTTTTTTTGAAATCAGGAGATCTTGAGTGATGGCAAATAAGAAATATTTGGAGCTAGATGGCTTCAAGCTAGATGGGTTGTTCTGTGGGTTGTAGGTAGCTTGTAGGCCACAAATTGGCTGTCTTACACTTCAATTTTGTTAAATTCTATATACTTCTGTTATCATAGTAATAGTCTCAGGAGGAAAATACTTTGAGAACATGAGAATGAATTAGATTCAAGGTCCTTTGGAATGGTTTAATTTTTTATTGAAACTTCTGGCAGTTTGATACTTGGTAACTTTTATGTTAGACGTAATTTCGATTTTTATTAGTTTTTGGTGGACTGCTCTTTGTCTAGTTAGTCTGTTGAAATTATGTAGTGTTGTCCACTGTTCAGTTCAGTTGTAGATTTCATGAAGTATTGCTTTTATTTGGTCCATATTACTGAGGAATAGCTGACAATGATTCACTTTAAATATTGCAGCTTCTAAGTCTTATAAATCCTGATCACCTTCCTCCATAGGTATGTTCTTCCAAGAGATGTAGCCCTTGTCTTTCCAGGAGTATGATTTCTGCTTTTGATCTCATTTTCTCAGAATTTCTCAGGTGTTCCTCTTTAAAGAACACCAAACCACAATTCTGTGTGTTCATGTATGTGTGTGTATATATGTGTGTGTGTGTGTGTGTGTGTGTGTGTGTGTGTGAGAGAGAGAGAGAGAGAGAGAGATTTACAATTCGTTGAATAATTTTCTAATCACTCAATGTCATGGGCCTTCTATGCAGCAGTTGTAACCAGTGATTCTGCTGTATCAAGGTGATTTTTAAAAATGAAATTGCTTTGCAATTATTTCTGTCAATAAWTATATGCATTTCTTTGCATAGAATAATTAAAAACTTTTTTTTCCAGTTGCGTCTGAGATACACTGATTACTGGTTCTATCTCAAAAACCAGTAAACCAAATTAACTTATTAATATTTTCCCAATCTTTCACTAGACAGTAGAAAGTAACCTCAGCGATTTTCAGGCTGACTTCTCTGTTTAAGTAAAAAGCCTGCAGTTGAGCAGGATGGAAATGGGTCATGGATAACTATGGATGCATAGTTAATGGAGGAAAAACACATACAAAGTGTCTGTGTTGAGCACTGATGCCAATAGATGTGGTATTTGGAAAGGAGGTGTCTTCTGGCAAAAGGCCTCTTGAAAATGAAAAGTATTTTGTTTTTCAGATGGATCCTAAGAAATATCAGTGTCTGGTTTTCAAGAACAAAACCATCGTAGGATCCTACTCTACGAACGACCTGAAAATACTTTTCTTACCTTCCTGTTCGGGGATCTTCCAGTGTATCCTCAATGTTTCATCTTGGCCAGTTTCTGCAGATGCCGAAACAATTGTTCAGTCAGAAGCTTTGGCAAGCMGGGTAGTTCTGACAGCGGTTGCTGAAAATCCCAATTTAGAAGTAAGTAGCTACATTTTATGGCTCTTTTGTTGYTGTTGCAATTTTATGAACTGTTTAATAACACTAGAAAATAATAGGAATRCAATGTTGTTCCTCTAAGAAACCTGGAATTTCATTGGTTTTGAGTAGGAATATTAGAAAATTTTCAAGAGGCTTATTGCTATCTGGAAAGTTCTAGTTGTGGAAAAGTACCTAGCTGGAAATGAATGATTCTGTGTGGAAAAAAATAAGTTGAAATGCATTAYTTTTTCAATGTTGAAAGACTGGATGAGATCTTTACTGCTTTCTAAATATGTGTTGTGTTGGATAGGGCATTAAATGTAACAAAAGGCATTTATTTCCTATTGTAAGGATTTCTTTACTTTTTACATCAAGTAGGCTTTGTCTGGTTCGTTACTACTGCTAGATAGTTTATGATTGTAGAGAATATTTTCTTATTTTGGACTAATTAAAAATTAAAAGCAAGTGGATATGTAAAATTAATTTGTCTTGTGTGTTACCACGAAGAACAACCATGTGGGAGACATTAACATTTAAATCTGGCTTCATGTAGTCCTAGATTTAAGAGTATGGACAGGTGGRAAAAGGCTTGATGATACTTTTGGAGGTGCCTAAACAAATTACATGGCAGTCTGTGACATGGTTGAAAAAAAGTAAAATTTTCAGTCATCAGCCACAGCTAACTTTTTTTTTTCATTTATGGTGCTCTTTTAACTTGCTTTGGACTAAGTATGTGTTTTGAAGTAATGAATGCACATGAATGAATATTTTTAATGCTTCTTCCGTAAATTTTAGGGGTTTTTAAATGCTTTTTTAAAATCCTTTAATGTGTAATCCATTCTCCATGTTCTTCTTAGTACATAGTTCAAACTTGTGTCATGTTCAAATTAAATTTAAACCCTGTACTCAATCTCTGCATATCTTACTATATTTTGGAAAAAGCACTAAATAAAATCTATATTTTACTGCAGATCRTGATAATTTTTGCTAGCTTAAAAACATTTAAGTAACTGCTTCTCAGYTACTTTCTAGACTTTTTAACTATCTAAAACTGACATTTCATACTTGCTGCTTGTTAATCATGGTTTAAACTCACTTTTAATTTGAAATAGCCAAAATAATTTGATTGGGTACTGGGTTTTGGTGGATAAATATTTCACTAAGATTGGCTTAATTGCTTCAGGCAAAATGCATGGGAGATAGCTAACTGGCTATAACACCTAATATCAAAGAAAACATGTGAAGAGCATCCTTACTTTCCTGGTGCTTTTGTAGGGTAAAGTGTTTAGAAGGTTTGCCTTTCTTCTGAGTTCTGCTTTGCCTTCAAAACAGGTGGAAGCTGGAAAAGGAGATTGCCTGGATTTTGGTGACTTGACTTCTGGCAGTTGGAAGGCTCTTCCCCTAAAACTTATCAACAAAACTCATGCTTTTGTACCAATTAGATTAATAATTAATGCAGTAAGTACAATTAACTTCCTCTATGTGAGAGTAAATATCTTGTGATACTGAAATTTTAACATGCAAACACTTTATGTTGTGTATCGTTAATACATCGTGGACACTAGACGTAAGGTTTCTAAGAAGTCTTTGTTAGTCAGGAAATCAATAGTTTTTGCAGGCTGGTAATCTGATTCTTCTGTAATGGTACCAATAAAAATGCTTCTGGGATAGATGTGGTATTTTGTTTCATGTCTGTTGGTTACTTTTTATAGCTTAGCCWTAGGATTCTGGCTCTGATGTTTGATTTGGTAGCGCAGGTTCGCGGATAGGAAGAGGGTGGTGTTGCCTATACCTTCCCTTGGAGAAGCTGGAGGCTTCCCTCCTCTCTGAGAAGCTGGAGACATTCCATTAGTCAAATGGAACAGCTGACTGTTCAAACAAGCAGCCAAGCTTGCCATTARCAAGTTCAGCATATTCCCTCTTCCTCTGAAGAAACAAGAGCAGKACTCTTCTCTCTATCTGCTTTGTCTCCCACTAGATAATATGTGTGAGAAGCTGCACTATGTTCATCTCTGCATCTCTGTMAATGCAGTTTTCAGATTTTTGGCTRGGCTGGGCTGACTGCTTATTTGTGCTRTGGGAAGAGCTGGCCTTGTTTGCTTATGCAGAGGAGCAAGAAAGGACTGGCCCTGTGTTAAGGTGGATTGGTTTGTCTTGGGGACTAATGATGTTTGGTCTTGAACAGCCAAACTTCTTGAAGGATTAAGCTAACCARACTCTGCTTATCCTCTTTTGCTGCAAAAGGATTTCCTATTGTTTTTAGAGGGTTTGCTGGACTATCATGTACTTAACAAAAGTACAGCCTAATTTTTGATTATTTTTTTCCAAACTGCTTCTGTCATTGAAAACTTGTCTTKTATTTGTCAAATTTTCAGCATTGCTGTTAGTGACAATAAGAGATTTAATACTTGTAATACTTCTTCTTTTGACAGAATGCAGTAGCCTGGCGGTGCTTCACCTTTTCCAAGGAACCTGTTAATGCTCCTGATGAACAAATGGATGCARTTTCTCAGATAGCAGCTCCATCAGTTGTAAATCATGTGATACATGCAAGCTATGATGGGCAAGTGAGTAGTTTGTAGTTGGCTGATTCTTCTTTTTACTTGCTGTCTRAAATGCCAATGCTGAATGTTTGAGTTCACAGTAATGATTTTTGAGCAGTGCACCTTTTGCACATTTAGGTTTTGTGAGTGTTCTGTTTGTTTTTCTCCTCAATAATTCTCTCCCCCCCATAAGATGAGTCAACCAATTTCTTTTTCAGGATCCTGAAGCTTTGACAGTTTGGGTTCTTTTCCATGCACCTAAGAAACAGATTTCTTGTTCAGGTAAAGTAATTTGATTTTCATTTCAGCTGAAACAGATTTGACTTCTAAGGTATACATGTGTTAGAACTGCAGGAACAAGCTGTATACTTGAAACCRTGTTTGTTTTGTGTGCACTAATATTTCAGGTATCATTTTTATGAACTGTAGGAGAAAGAATACCTCTATATCTTAATCCTTTGTACGTTACCAAGGACATTTATACTTCAGTATGAAGCTGTACAGAGTTTGTACTGCAAGATGTGTAGAATTTGTGTTAACTCCTTTGACTGAGGGAATTAAACCACTACTTAAGAAAACATTGCATTAGTTGCAAAATAGATGATACATTTGAAGAAACCTCTGAATTTTTCTGGCTTCCTGAATAGAAAATAGTACATACATCAACTGGTTTGGCTAGTGTGGTGGGATGGGTTTTTTTTGTTTTCATTAGTGGCAATTTAAGTCACATTTGTTAAGAAGGTAAAACTCTCAAAGAAGGTCCTGTGAGACTCTATTTAAAAGAGGAAAGAAGTTGCAGGAGTAATGGGAGAGCTTCTGTTATGATCATCACATGAATATGTTAAGATTGAACAGTAGCTGAAGTGAGACATGCATCGATTGCAATGGCCTTTGCTGGTGGCAGACTTGCTTGTTTTTGTTACTCATGAAATTGTTCCTAGATTCCTTGGGTGCAGCAGATGAGTTCTTGGCAAGAGTGGATGTGGAGGTGGATAGTCCAGGACCTAGCACTGTCATTAAAAGTATTTCTCTCCGAGCGAGAGCTGGAACAGCAAGGATACATGCTCCAAAGGACTTACAGGTTTGTGTATATTTACAGAGTGTGTTTCAAGAACAGTTTACCTCTCCTACTTTTGTAATGTTTGGTTTTATTATATATGTATGTATACAAACATACACACTTACTTAATTTTTACAGAAAATACATCTGTCTACTACTGTGGGTTCAACAGTCAAGCAGCGGCTGCCATTGAAAAATGCTGGAAACATTAGGGTATATTTGAAAGCTAAGGTAGGTTGGCTTTTCCCTCTTGAAGTCATGATTTTTGTGCTGTTCATATTGTATTGAAGCCAGAGCTGAGCCTTGGGATTTCTGCTCTGTGATTTGACAAAAGCTTTACAAATTCATATAAAGGGAATGAAAGACAGCGAAGAGATTAGCTTACCTTCTTGAAAAAAGATATGGGTGTTCTTTTGCTTAACTTTAGTTATGTTTTGYTTTAACAAACATACCTTTATGATTTTTACTAAATTTTAATGAAAATATTTGTTATACATGGAAGTAGTGCTGCTTGTGCTGCACAGCAGGTGTTCAGTTAGCTGCTAAAGTCTGTTTAGAGCAAAGATGGATATTAACATTGGGAAACATCTGTATTTTCTTAGAAAATCTGCATAGGTTTCAGTGTACATCTTGCCAACTTGAATACAAAATGAGTTCTTTTCAGATATGCAATGTCTTAACTTGACCTTTTTTGAGAATCCATAGAWAATATGGTCCCAGACTGGAAGATAACTAAACACATTTGAAACTAGCATTTCAAAGTCAACAGAAGGAGCAGTTGGTTCCCTTTTAGACTTTTTTTAAAAAATGAGGGTTGTGAGCTCATCATTTCTAGAATCAGAGGCCATGGAAAGAGGGTGTTTGACTCATAAAGTGATGCCACATAAAGTGATGCTACTGGAGGCTAATTGATAAAGTTTTGAAGACTACAGACATATTCAAATTGTCTGAACTGCATGTACAACAGGTGCACAACCAAATTGTATTTCATGTTGTGGAAATGTTTAATGCATTCAATTAGATAACTAACCCTCCCTTTTCCCCTTTCCTGCTTTCAGATATCAGATCAGGACAGCTGCTTTTCTGTTGAACCTGAGAGCCTTTTCCTTTTTCCTGGAGAAGAACAAGTAGTGACTGTCCAGTTTTTTCCTAAAAATGTAATAACTACAGAAAGGTAATATAACTGATTCTGTGCTGCATGTGTTAAACTGAACTATTTTTGACCTTAAGGTAATGAAAAAATTGGAAGTTCTACCCATATGAGAGACTTTGTCTTCATTTGTTTTCGTGAGAGTTCTCATCCATTGCTAAAGGTTTTTTTGTTAAAGTTCACTTTTTCTGTAGGTTATCTGCCTCTTCAGGTGTGTATAGCTGAATGAATAGGTAATATTTCCCATCAAGAAATATCCTAAGGCTTGTTTAGTGTAAACAAATGGAGTAAGTCCCTGAAACCCTTTATGTGGTAGTTATTTCTAAAGTACAGCAAAGATTCGAAATGCACCTTCAGCAGCCTCTTCAGCTCATCCCTCTTTTTTCTCTCTGCTGAGACAAGGGAAATATTATTTCTATTTTATATATGAAAAAAACCCCAAGAACGGATCAGAATCATACATATTCATTTGTCTGCTGTAATCAGATAAAACTGTGTTCTGTACAACACTAATGTACATGTTCCTTGTGCACATGTAAGCATTTGTAATTTTACTCATTAGCACCTGTTGAACTTCATTCTGCAAAATAAACTTGCTTGRTTCAAGTGACCATTAAGATGTCATGTAAGAGTTTTTGGCAATGTCAGGGGTCTGACTCATTTCTCCAGTGCAGCCTTTCTTCTCTTGTTACATGTTTTCCAGTTGCTGCTGTGATAGAGCAAGAATTGACTAAGAACTATCTTCAAAATATGTTAAGCTTCTCTAACTAGCTTAACCAGGCCACTCCATTGCTTTTGAATTAAACAATGAGACGTTCTGTGCTATTGACAGTATGAGCCTATTGGATAAATTGAATTTTTACAGGCTCAAGGTACTCAGGAGTATTGGAAACTTTATAGTCTATCTGCAAGTGCTGCCAAAAGACCAGTAAATTAGAACTGAGTWATGAGGGTCTGTGCTCCCTGCTGATGGGATTCAGGGCTTTGTCAGCAGGCATCATAGGGRTACAATGACAGCTGGATTGGAGTTTCTGGAGTTTTGTTCTTGACTTGAAGTGTGTTTGTGCTATTACAAATGCTTCTGCCTATTATTTAAAAGCTAGATTCYCTTCCTTGATGCTCCTGGCTATCTCACACCTGTAAAAATTCAATTAAGTTTCTCAAGTCATTCAAAAGACATCTCTTTAATCTACAGCCAGACTTYGTTTCTTTCCAAAATAAGTCTGTCAAAATAATTAGAAATTAGTATGGACAAAAAATAATTTGCCTGGTGGTAGTCTCTGAAATTTTTATCTGAATYGTTTTCAGATGAAATATTTCAGATGACTTTGTAAGGTACAATGTGGCATATTTATTTGCAGCCCAAAGGGTTTAAATTTTGTTATATCTAAAGCTGACCTTTATCATAAAACAAAAAGAAGTATTTTTATTTTCCCCTTARGAAGGTAGTTTTAAAAATGCCTATCTAGTTATGTTTTGATTTCATCAGTTAATCTTGTTCTGTTGTGGGATTTAAATTTATTTATTTATTTATTTATTAAGTACTTTGAAAATTCTTGTGCTACCATCTGGGCCTCAGTATGAAGTGATGATAAAAGGTGAGGTGGAGTCTGAGAAAAAGAGACCTGTATCTGCAGCTGCTGGATACTCAGACATTCCACCCATCCTCTCCAACAAACAGTTCATTGCCTGGGGAGCAGTATCACTTGGGTCATCAGTGTAAGTATAAGTTGGACAACYGTTCATATAGATATCAAGTTAAGTATTTTATATTGCACTTATTTGAAGTAAAATTTCCTATTCACATTGATAATTCACAGTGATTTATTCTAAGCCCCAAGTGAACGAAGCAGTATATTACAATTCTCTTTCTTGTGCAAGAAATTTTCGAAAACAAACTGATCTTGTTTGAGCTTTGTGTATTCTTGAGGACTCTTTAATTATCATTAGAAGATCTGGTTCAGTTTACAATGTCATGTAAGTAGAAATGAGAAAAGTATTTTCCAGCTAAGTTGGTGGAAACATATCTCTTGCTATAGATAAATTATGCTTGTTTTTCTTCGTTTCATCCATTACAACTAACAGAATCCAGTCTGTGTAATGTAATTTGACCATCTAAATAGCATAAACTGTTGAACATCCCTTAATTTATTTGAATGTGTTTCAATGTTAAAACTTTTAGTGATGGAGAATCTGTTTTGTTCCTAATTATGAATTAATTTATCCTTCAGACTACTTCTTTTCTGTGCTTTTTTTGTTGCAAGTTTACGGGTTCAGTATTCTATGCTTTAGTGAAGCTGTTCATAATTGTTTGGATTTTCTTTGCTTCTTTTGTATGTAAAGTCTGCAAGTTTTGCAGATCTCTGAACTTCTAGTAAGTATTACTTGAAGGACTGATTCACTGTTGCTTGATACTGAACTTTTTGAGGAATCTAATGATGATCCTGGTGGTTTAAAAGCAATCCAATTTGTAGCCAAGAACTGTTTCTGATTGCTATGTTTCTGTTTTTCTGTTTTATTAAGGTAGTGTGCTTCTAAGAGTTGTTTTGGTTATTTGGTGTTTGGGAATTACTTTTGCTGCTATCTTATTATTTAACAGTTTTTATTAATCCTTGGTTTTAGGAAGCTAAATAATTTTGATAATTTTGGTTTCAACAGAGTACAAAAGAATGTGTGCCACTGATAGATTGAGGCTTTGCTCTCTCTGTTCTCCTCTTTGATTCCAACTGCATCATTGATTCTCTTACATTTTAGCAGTTTTAGTGCTTGTCAAATCCTTCTGTCCGTGGTTTTTGACTTGTTAAAATGTCAAAGGTGCTTGCTCTTGCTGGAGATATTTCCTACCTATGCTGAGGAAAGCTCTGAATACCACAAGTCTGGTCAATTCTTGGATGCATCACAGAGAAAAAAAAAAAATTTAGGTCAACCTGATTTTGTCAAGTGACCATAACTTTCTGTGTTGCTATTACATTGAGAAGTACATGTAAAGTTATCCTGAATTTAGTTCTTTATAACTGTGCTAGTGAATCTGGGCCAGACTCACTGTCTGGCCAGTCACTCACAAGACTTTGTTTCTTCATAACTAAGGTTCTCTGGATAATCTGATCAATAACTGTGTCCTAAAGTGGGGATTTTTAAGGAATTTTTGTATTGACACAATTGCTGGTTGCTTTCAAAGTTCAAGCCACTAAGTACAGTGCTTGAACTTTAGAAAAGCTATATATACATATATGTATATATATTTATAAATATATATATATAAATATATATATAATTATAAATATATATATTTATAAATATATATATATAATTATAAATATATTGGGGATTGTTTTGCTGTATGAGTATCCATGTGTTGTGGTGTGAAACAGAGTAGGGTGTGTAAGTTTGACAATACAGAAATAACTTTCTATCTAATGTATTCTATTGTTCCAAGAGATGATTTTTATTCCATTAAATTACTTCAAAATTGACTGTCCTGGTTCCATTGTTTCCATAAATAAGTGCATGCAGTTAATTTGTATTTGCTGTAAAATCTAACTGAACATATTTTTCAGACAGAAGAAGTTAACTCTAAGAAATGACTCTCCATCTGTGACTCAGCATTTAAGATTGTTGATAAGAGGCCAGGATCAAGACTGCTTTCAGGTGGCTGTCATCAAAATTTCTCTTTAGTGTTTATGACAGTTACCAGGCTATAGTTACAATAAAAATGTTTTTGCCCTGAAGTGTTAGTGGGCTGTGTATTTGTTTTGAGACTGCCAAGGTGAACCTGGTAGCAGAGCTTAAGCTACACTGGCAACCTTGGGAGCAGCTGAAATAAGAGTGCRACAGCAAACTGGAGCTCAGTTTACAGCACTCTAAGCTGCTGTATCACAACAGAGAAAGTATTTGGTGGCGTGATCCATCAGTGGCTCTTGCAAGGAGTCCAGAGGAGGATAGAAAAACTGGAATTAGCCTTTAGGAATTACTGTGGCTAATGGGCCTTTCTGTTGTGTAAATTGCATTGACTTATATCCCTTTTYCCCCTCAAATGTTCAGATTTTTTAATCTAAAATCTTAAACTGAGAGAATTAACATAGTGCTAGTGAAGTTCAGCTTTGTCGGATTGGGGACTGAGGACAATAAACTGTCAAAACTGAGAGCTATCGAAATGTTCATTGTGGGAATATGAAGTACCTTGGATTTCATTTTTTTTTCATTGCATATTAAACATTGCAACTTTAAATATGCSATTGTCAATTGAATTAATGTGAATTTAGAAGTTAATTACTAGTTATGGATGTAGTAAGTTTTGCTGCYATGTGTTTTTCCCATTATAGTCACTCAGTTCTGATGTCTTTGTTTTTATAGCTCCAAAGTATATTTGGATCAGAAGAACGCTCAGCCAGTAATTGGGAACTCAAAATTCGTCCTAAAGAAGATACTAACATATACCTCTTGTTTACACCTACTCGAATAACTTGTTGCTTTGCAAAGCTGGAAATCAAACAGCTGGGGATTCGCTCACAGCCAGGAATTAAGTTTACTGTAAGAGTCCCAGCATAACTTCTAATAATTTTAAATGTTCGTGTTTCATAATTATTGAAAATCTAGCACTGAATAGCTATCTCTGTAAAAAACCTGAAAATTCAAGATACATACTGTGGGTGTCTGTRCTCTTACTAAAATCATGTGGGCACATTTTCGCATGCTATTTTTTTCCTTTGTGAAGGACAAAATATTAATGTACTGTATTAAAAGTAGCCTAAAATTTTAACTCTAGAAGTGTTAAAAAAATCTGAACTTTGCTTGTTTTATAGGTAGGTCTTAAACTTTAAGTAGAACTTGAAAAAGATTGAATAAATTTAGGCTTTTCTATCTCGCAAGGTCTTTTCAGTTTACATTTTTAACATTTTCACTTGTTTTTCTGTAACTCTTTATATAATTTACCATAGTTGTACACAAGCTGTATTTACTAAGAAGCTTTTTTTCTTTTGAAGTACTGATTTTTTGGTGGTGGGGTTTTTTCTCTCCCAGATACCCTTATCTGGATATGGAGGAACAAGCAATATAACTTTAGAAAATGTTAAGAAATTGTCAGATAGCTTCATGGTTACACTGGATGGATCATTGTCTGCAAGGTTACGGAAAGCTTCCTTCCACGTGAGAAACACAGGTTCTCGGGCTGCCTATGTTAGAACACTGTGCTTGGCAAACCTGCAGACAAAAGCAGTGATGGATCCTCAGGTTATGACTGTGTCTCCAGAGAAATTTGTACTAAGAGAGGGATCGCGTGAAGTAAGTACAGTGTTTWATTCTGAGCAAATTTTAGAATTTAAATTAAGTGTCATCAATGAAAATGTCTGATTAGTTCTTTATTAAAATCTCAGCTAATTTTTTTTATATCCTGTGTCACTTGTATTGTAGTAATCTGTTGACTAATATTCSAAACATTAATACAAACAATAAGGTTTCTTTTTTCTCAGTACATTATCTATTTATTTTATCAGGAGATTACTATAACATGGAATCCAATGGAAAAGAACTTCCATGCRACAAGCATGTTGGTGTCAACAGTATGTATTTTTTGTGGAGATGAAGTTTCTAGGCAGCAGTATCGCAGGTAAGATGTGCTTTGCTATTGTAGCAGACAGGTGTTTAATAAAAAGTTAAAACTAGAGGTGTGCTGCAAGTATGGTTTTAACATGCTTCCAAAAATAGCAAGAACAAATTAAAAGATAGTGATGATATGTAGAGATCTGTTAAGTCATGCATCTGTTGGTGGGGTTTGTTAATCTATGGCTTTGCTCGCATACTGTAGCTGTAATCATAGTTAAGGATCTTATTGTATTGTAACTTTCTTAAATTCAAGTGTGTTGGGTTTTGGGGTAATGTTTTCTTTTTTGTATTGAAACTGATTTGTGATCTGTCTTGGTATCTGTCTTGCTAAAGTGTATGTAACTTTAATTTTTAAAGAAAAGGCCCATGAAAGGAATAGTACTGAAATCCAGGAATATTGAGTTTTGAACAAGGTTCATGTCTTGGTTTGCTGAATTTTGCTGTCAAAGAATGTGTTTGAGTAGATGTRTGTATGAGAAAAATAACATCCACACATGCTCATGATGCACTAAGGAAAACTTGTAGAAAATACCTTACCAGTCTTAACTAGCAGTCATGTTATTCTGTGTTCCAGTTCAAATAACTCACGTGCACAGAAATGGCATATTCTGCTTTTAACGACATAAGTGACTTGTRCTGTCTRTAGGGTATAGTGTAATGCAGAATGTTAAGATTAGGTAGAGCACTAAKRTGCTGATGGTCATAATTCAGTGCAAAACTTCAGAACAGCATTATTTCATTATTGCTGACAATGTGTAAAAGTCATTGTGTATATTCTTATCCAAATGACGTATTAAACATTGCTGAATCTAACTGCATGACTTTGCATAAAAAACTCATGGAATAGCTGAATTTGTGTCCTTGATAGGAAACTGGCTTATTTTTGGTATCTTAGATTCTTGTTCCTCCTTTTTCTATGAACTGTTTTGTGTGAGGCAATGCTCRCTATGATGGAACCCTCTTTAATGGGCAGAGTACTTAAAAAACAGTTTTAGTCTACAGATCAGCAGAAAATCTGTCTAGAAGGCCAATAAAACTACATAGGTAGTATTGGAAACTTTTTTTATTCAGCTTCTGGATGTTGGTATGTGAGCAAAATGACTTGTKGCTTTTATTAGTCAGCAAGCTGGCGTATGGTTCTGGAAAATGGTGGTCTAGCTGGTCGTTCCTTTGTGGGAGGTTCTCTGAAATCCCCCTTGATAACTTAAAAGAGATGTGCATTTCTTGCAGTGACTGAGTTCTCTCTRGTTAAACCCCATTCTGTAACTCTGCACTAGAATGAGAACGTGATTTGGGACTTAAGGCAGGAGTATGAAATGAGTACTCTGCCTCATCTGCCAACTTGTACCTCAAGTTCTTGACTCCAAAATTACATATAGTCAGCAGCCTGGTAACTAGCTTAGACCTGAGAGTTAGCAGYGGTGAGGTATTCTTTCCTCCTCCATGCCTCTGACCTTATCTGAGTGCCAGATTTCCTTTTGCTGACCTGCATCTTACCATTTTTCCCAGGACTATTTATRTCTCTGTGCCTCCCAGTCTTTTCTGGTCTGTTGGCAGTCATGCTCCTTGGCTCTGTGTTCCTGCTGTTGGCTGGCACCTGCTGCCATTCTGACATTGACTAGTCAATTTTTCCTCTCAAAAGGCTTTCACTTGTAACCAAAATAGCATTCTCCTGCTTCCTGTGGTGATTGAAACATCACTCAGATGCCTGATGTACTTATCAGAAATCTAGGTAGGTGTGACTGACAGCAGAGAGCAAGTATGGAAAGACAAACATATGGTAACCATTATTTCAGTRTTTCCTTTTACTCTGCAGCAATAGAGCAGGTATTTCTTTAACCATTTTAAGACTGAAAAGACTTCAGTTTTAAATGAATGTTCCCAGATCTGAGCTTGGGGTAGTCAAGAAATGATGAAGTGAAAGTTATGCTGGATTCTTATCAATCTTATCAATCTTTTCAATTTGTTGTTTCTAGCACTTTGTGTGATTTAGTGACTCCTGTTTATCTTTAACAGAGCTATGATGTATAATCCTGAGGCAGAAAAACACATAATCCCTGAAAACAGCTTATTGAGAAACGTTGTATTTGATGAAGAATTTCAAGGGGAGCAGCTTGTGACAGAAGGTAAGCCTATGACTTCTTAAAAGAAAAATCTAATACTTGTTTTCATGTAGCAAATGTGCTTTTGGCTTGAATCCTAGTTACTTTTTCACTGTTTTTTTATGTAGAAGTAAAATTCTGAATTTGGACAGATGTAATGGGCAGAGCTTTGTTGTATTTTCTTTCCCCAGTCCAGCTGAGGAGGGGTGTGATAGAATGGCTTTGGTGGACACCTGGCATCCAGCCATGGTCAGCCCACCACAACTTCTTCATTCAGTACCTATTTGTTAAATGATTTTCTGTGCTTTTTTCCTAGCAAAATGAACCCTTGACTCTCTGTTCTGTGTTCTCTGGGCATTAAAACTGCTCAGTTTATTTGGAAAGTATTTGCCTTATTCATTACTGAGAAAGATTCAGTTTCTTGTACAGTTGTATTTGAAAATTGAGAGGAGACAACTTGGCTGACAGCAAAATTTTCTTTCCTAAATTTAATAATTTTCTCTTCTGCTTGCTCGTAAGGAATTAATAAGTGTACAGTATATTGTAAAGATGTCCTTAAAACACTCCCCCCACCCCAGTTGTTTAATCCTTAAGTGTCATGAACAAATTTACTGTCAAACCCTGTTCTTGAACTAGTTATATTCACATATGGAATTGCTTACTATTCTAAGGCTACTACACCTGTATAAATAAGGTCTGATTCTTTCCCTATGACTTATATATTGTCTTTACTTGGAAAAGTAAAGTTTTTTTTTATTGTTCATCTTGATTGAGGTGAAATCCTAGTGAACATTAGATACKTGATTTCTGAAATATCCTTTGAAGTTGTTAAGCCAGTTTTAGAGAGACAAGTAAAACTTAATTTTAATTTGGCATAGAATCAAATTAGTATATAGCATTTCTGTAAAAACTATATGATATATAGTTTCTATGGAAACTATATGATAATCTCATATTTATTTTTTATATAATATTTATTATATCTTATAATAACTTAAAACTGGTGTGTATTTAGATTTATATATTGTATTTGATATTAGTGTTGAGTTATGCCTAAAAACTAAACTTGCAGGAAGTAGTTTTTGAATGATATAGGATTTCTTAGCTGATGGATYATTAACTGTGTCTGTGTCCTAAATCTCTGGTGTAATTTCTTAGTATTATAGAATTGTTTTTACTTGAATTGCTCTATTACTCTCATTTTTAGTATGTGATGTCCCACGAGGGACAAATGATATCCATCTTTTCTACACAAATATGCAAAAGGTTATCCTTTCTGTGGTCGGRTATTCCACTTGTGATCAGGATGGCTTTCAGCAGTCTCCTGGAYGCGGTTTGGAATTGGACAGGTACTGTAATTATGATGTAACTATGTGTATGTATTTTTTTCTGGTGAGAGTGGTTAGGCACTGCAACAGGTTCCGCAGAGTGGCTGTGAAGTTTTCATCTGTGAAGAAATTAAAAACCTGGCTGGTCAATGTCCTGAATAAACTGCTGTAGCTGACCGTTTTTTGTTCAGGGGTGTTGGACTGGGTGATCTCCAGAGGTCCCTCCTGACCTCCAGCATGTTGCATAGCATGCTGTGGAAAACAACTTGCATTGCCTTATTTCTCTCTGCAGTACTTGTTTTCCCTGTATATGTCCTATTCAAATTATTTTATATTATTATCTTCTGAAGATAATAGTTTATTTTAGTTCCTTCCATTTTAAATGGTACTTTCCACTTCTAARCATTCTGTGAAAAAGCTGTGTCCTCTGCTGAACTGTTTTTTACTTAATGGAGAATTGAATTGAGGGCCCATGTGAAAAACTTTAATAATGAAATTTTAATAAATACTAAGAGTAGGCTATTATAATTTGTCATGAGATATTTTTTTACTGCTTTTGCTTAATGCAGTCTTATTTTCAGGTTTGAGAACTTTGTCAGGCATACCACTGCAACGTTGGATGTTCTTCCTGTTAAAGGACCTCAGGGTCCTTCATTGTCTGCAAGAACTAATGATCTGGTTCAGAATAAATCAGATGTCCAACAGTCTTGGGCTGTTACACCTGAGTTTTTGACTTTGACACCTCCTTCTATTGGTCAGTATTTTTTAAAGTTAATGAAATACCCATTTTAGAATTAAGATAAGTATACTGCATAATATGTTTGTAAGTGTGGGTTGGCCAGTAATCTTCATGCAGACTTGGTTTGAACACAGTTTTGGATAAATTGTCAAAAATAATGTGCTGTGTGTATACATACAGTATGCACTGCATACCTATGAAGATTTTTAAGTATTGTGAAGGTAAAATTGGGGCAGAAAATACTTTATTTKCATTGGTGCATCTCTGTATCTTGGGCATTTTTGTGAATTTTTGTACATGTTAGCTTTTTTCTGTGTTACAGATGGAWCAGCAGATACTAGACACGTACAAATTGTCAACAATTCCAACAGAATGTTGACRTTTGAACTTTCATGGCCAGCTCACTGCCTTACTATAACCCCACAACATGGAGCTGTTGAACCAGAGTGAGTTTCTTTCCTTAAGTTTTAACTTGCAAAAGTGTGGTGAGGTTATGGAGGAATTTATTTTTGGTTAGTTTAAGTGTGTAACTAATTCAGGAATTTAAACTGGTTTTTAGAAGTTTAGTTTGTTTAGACTGTACTTAGTCATTTTTGGCAATTAACATGCAAATCTAGCTTTTTTAGGACCTTGTCCTTTTACAGGTCTGTATGATGAGAATGTTCTTCTGTCACTGACATAATTACTTGGATGCCAGGTATTTTCTGTGCCTGGAAGTACTATTATTATTTCATAATTTTCAAGGAGCTGGATGGCCAATGAAGCTGTAGCTTTAAAAATCTCCTTTCACAGTATTTTTTTGTTTAAAATTTACCTGTGTATTTAAAAACAAAAAACACTTCTTCCTTTTCCACAACCAACAAACAACCCCCAAAACAGCAGTTCTTATAGGAGGCTTCTCTTCTGGGGACTTAGTGCTTTCTTTAACAAATATGCTGATATTATTATTATTTTGAGAAAACTGGGTTTTGCCATTCAACCTTTGGGTTCTCAATATCTGCAAGTATATAAAGATAAGCCAGTGTCAGCTTGTCCATGCCTCAATTAGCATATTTTTGGAACAGTACAGTGTCATAATAGCACTGTATATGTGTATGAGACTTTTCACACATGGCAGCAAAGTCTTTCACGATTTATGCTTGAAAGGTCTGCCCACCTCACCCTTCCAAATTTCTGGGTTTTTTTTAGGGTCAATTCAGAACAGCTTTGAGACCCTGTTATTAAACTATTCTCATCTGACAAAAAAAAAAAAAAAAGTCTTCCACCAAATAATAGGTTTTGCTTTCAGAATTGTATTTCAGTAGTTGCTTTAACTTTAAAGATGTTTGCCCAAGAGTACTTTCTCTTCAGCCCTGCATCACCAATAATATTTAAACACCTAATTTCATATTTGTGTAGATTTAAATTGCTGGGAAACTTTCATCACTAGTGAGAACAAAATAGACTTCCATGGAATGGCTAGGATACCTGCCACTCATTACAGATTCAATCAGTGCCAAGAAAAATAGTCTCAAAAAGCAGTAACAATGAACAACTTYCCAGTAGCTGTGGAAGTAAGGACATTTTGATTGTCTCATACCCTAAGTTCAGGATTGTCTGGATGGTTTCTKAAATAGAGGGTATTGAAGGCCTTCTGCAAGCAATTTTCTTGCAGTGTAGAATTTTAAAATGTGTTCACTGGAAAAGAGTGGGCAGAATCCTCACATGTTGGGTCCAAGTAAGTAGTTTGGATCAAGAACAGAGGTCTGCAAGTAGGAAACAGACCCGTGGGAACAGCTGACTTAAGCACAGCAAGCTACACTTGCCCAGTTTTCTATTTTTCATGACCATCTCCCTGCAGTGCCAAGGGCAGTCATCCTGTCAGGACAGAAGCCAGCCAGAATATTTTATATTCTACACTGTGATGGCTGGAGCCCACAGCATTCTTGAACTGAGTTAGGCCATGAAAGGAGTTGGTCTGATTTCTCAGTGATGGTGAAAGAAGGTCCTAGGATCATGGCTGTTAAAGCTTAATATATTGGATATCTGAATATCTTAAATTTGACTATCTGTAGACCATTTCCACTTACCTGCTGTGTTAAAAGTGCATCCTTTTTGGGGGGAGGGGGCTCGTGATGAATGTTGTAGATACTCACTCTAATATGAGAATCATGCTACTTGATTTTGTTTTGTTTTTTTTTAATTAGGGGCAGTACATTAATTCTGGTGAGTCCTAATCCATCACTTGCCACAAGGCCTACATTGATTCCTTGGAGTGGCCTAATCTAYATCCATTGTGATAATGGACTAAAGGTACGTGGTTTACTTGAGATTTGAGATTGCAACTTTTTGGGTTACTTTGTCAGGTCTAATAAAGTAAACCTTTTAGGTTTGAGTCAGCAGCTCTGTGAACTTGCAYTATTCTTTTTAATTTGTAAATTGTTCTTAAAAAAAAGGAGTTGAGATGCCATTTTGTAAACTGAAATTTTTAGTTCATTTATCTCTGAAGAAATACTATGATGTCAACGCTTAAACTGAATTGCCAACAAAATTGCACCCACCAYTGCCTTATGCATCATTTTCTAAAATGCTAAAAAAATGTATTTATGTAGAGATGCACACATTAAAAGTAGGCTAKGTCATATTTTAAAATTAAAGAAGTTAAAAGAGGTTATTGGACAAGTCACCATATTTTCTTTTGAGCTCCCTTAGGTAAACTTGACCTTCTGGATGGTAAGTCTGTGATAAAGAATGTCTAGGACAGKTTCTGGCTCTTCATRGATTTTAATCCAAGACTTCTCCCTMATTAAATTGAGGCATAGAAATAAAATTTATGGAGCCAACAGTTTTTCTTTTTTCATCAGTGTAAGAGCAGAAGGACTCCTTGGTAATCTCTCCCAAAGAAAGAMTTTATTTTTGTTTCTACAGTCAGTGTGTGTTTTGCATGATTTGTAGTGCAATGCATGGAGAGAGAAATAGACACTTRAAAGGATAAAACTGTTTCTACTTTCCTTCTGCATGGAGGGAAGTGTGAGGGATGATACAGAATTGGAAACTGCCTTCCAAAAACCCAAACAAACAGGGAAGTTATTGAGAAGGAAAATATGACTGTGCACATGGTTATCTATGTTATGTTCTACAATATGAGAAAAGAATTTAAGAAATCTACTAGGACAAGTGTATAGAATGCAACAAGACCCATCAAATTATAGGAAATCTGGTACTTTAATGCTTTTGTCATTTATTTGCTAGCTCTCCAAATCAGCAAAAAGTATGCTAAGATTTTACTGGCATAAACTGAAACTTGTARAATTTATAATTATGTAGCAAAAGTGAACACAAAGCTCCTTCTGAATGAGGTWGCTTTGTTTCCTTTATCTGCAACAGAGAATGTTGTAGGAATTGTCAGTTAAACTAGCTGAAATTTTTTTTCTTGTTGAATTAAAATGCCTAGATAGCAAATGTTCAGTGAATGTTCCWTTTCTCCTAAATTAAACTTGTCCTAGCATCTTTAAACTTTTRAGATTGGATAAGACCTGGTGATTTAACATATGAGGGCTTTTTTCTGTTGAGATGTAAAGCTGAACATCAGCTCTTACAGCTCAAGGRAACAGAGCTAAATACTTTGACTTGTTAATATATCAATATTCACTGTTTAAAACKTTGCTTTTCTCCAAATTGTGCAAAAGTTTATTAAAGTGCTGATTCAAGAGGCTGTCGCACAGCGTGTGTCTGGAGCAGACTTTCCRTGTGGAAGATGTGATATAATTACTCCAGAGTCTGAAAATCCTACTGTTCATGTGGCAAAGCCTCTCTCCAGGCTCCCTCTAACAAAAATGGAGATAAAGAACAGAAACATTGTTTTTCCTCAAACAAGACCTGGTCAAAGCTCAGGTAAGAAAGCTAACTTATTAAATGTAGTATCTTGTAGTATACTGTCTGTATACTACATCATACATCATCTGTAGTATCTTGTGTTCAGAGGCTTTGTTTACTGTATTGTATGTTTAGGAACTTCGGGGTCTTGACTTTGGTTTTGTTCTTTTAGTCTGATAAATGTGAATGACCAATTCCCTGTTTCTRCCTTTAGTTTGAAATGCTGTTTCTTTTTTTCCTGTTTCTTTTTTTCCAGTTCTCCTTATGCAGTGTAGTCTTTTCTTTTTTCCCACAGATAGGTTTGCTTACAGGCAAATAAGTTACTTTCTTTAAAGCCACTATGATGAATGCAAGTACACTGTGCCTGGGAAAGGAGAATGTTATAAGGGTACTGTGTCTACTTGAAACTCTTTTGGCTCAATGCACCTTTGCAGTAGATCCATTCTCATCTGTGCTGGTGTTCGTAAGGTGTGAGAGGAATCTCTCGGTGTTTAGCAGAGAAGTAAATGCTCTTCCTCAAGACAATAGGAATATCAGATATGAGGCTGACTGTCCTTGTTCTTGATCAAGGAGGACAGTGTTGATAATGGAGTCTGAAATGCTTGGTCTGGACTTTTGATTCCAGTAATGCTTTACGTCTCAAAGTAACTTTGTAGTACTTGCTTTTTTAGGCAATGAGGGTTTTTTTTTTTTTAATGATGCATTGACATTGATTTTTTCAGCAGACTTTAGAACTTACAAGGCTGAATTTATCAATAATATCTGAGGTGTTTTTTTCTGAAATTATGAAAGATGGCTGTAATATAATACTCTGGTGTTTTATCAATTTCCTATATAATGCATATATGTAGCTAAGTAGAACTTATTGAAGTTCTGCTCTAGACTGAGATGATCTTGTCCTATTAATTCTTGCAAAGAGATATGTAGTTATATGTATGTTGAGTAACAAACCTGTACTAGGATGACAACAGACYTTTGGATGCAACTTTATTTGGTCCCACACTGGAGTATTCTCGGTGTTTTGTGTTTGAATGATCAAATAATAGCTTGGGAAGGAGTTGGATACCTTTTGGGGTTTTTTTTTAATGGGGTCTAAATTTCTTGTGTATAAGCTTTTACAAATTTTATGACAGTGTATTTTGTTTGAGTCTGCTCTTGAGATTTGTTATAATAAAAACMTTTTCTAAACAGGTAAACTAAACTTCTGTTTTTCTAGAAACATAATTTCTGCTTAGCTTTTTACGCCAGAGATACTTGAACTTAGAGGTTTAGTATCCAGCTCTGATATTTCTCTTTTAGAGACTTACCTGGAAATGGAGAATAAAGGGAATGAAAATGTGAAGTGGAATTTGTCATCTTTTGCACCACCCTATGTTAAAGTGAGTCAAKGCTTGCATTGGGAGTTTTTTTGCAAATCCCTGTTTTTCTTTTTTAAGTTCWCTTTCTCAGCTTTCTCTCAAGAAAGAATATATTTGAGCATAACCTCAGTTAAGTTTTTTTTCTCTGTCCATATTAGGGAAATGTTTTGCTCCTTTTTCTTAATTTCTAATTTTCTCCCTGACTGTGAATCAATCAGTGCTTTGTTGGACAGTTTCTGGTTCACTTACTGCTTTACAGAGTTTGCTTGTGCTCATACAGTATCATCATCCAGATTGCATTAAGTAATCAACTATAAATGAAAGATAGGTGTCTCTTTTTTGGCTCCAGAATGYTAGATTTGTCTTGTTTCAGATTTGTGCTGCTGAAATTGCACTGTATGTGGTATCTCTGTAGAAATTTCAGTTASGTAAAGGGTATTTTAATTCCAGTGCTGTTACCTGTGCCTAACTGTTGATATTTGTAATGCTTCCCTATTTTTTTGATAGTCTGAAATCCTGTGATGATAATTTTGATTTTATGCTAGAATTATGGCCCATTGTTGTGAAATTGTTAAAAATGGTTATGTAATACCCTTAAGAGTACCCTATGGGACTGAGTATATCTTGTTCTAGCCAGTGCACCTCCTCTGAACTGTAAGTCAGAATTTGTCATGACTGGATTTAGTAGTTTCAGTCTTTATTAATTTGTTTTTAGGGAGTCAATATCACTTGTTCACTTAAAAGCAGCTTGATTGGGTGCATTTTCTTTGTCCTTTGCAAGGGTGGTGTGTCTGTGGGTGTATTATTGGTTTCAGTTGTTTTTTTCCCTTTCCTTTCTGAATCTGACTCATAAATTTATTTGCAGGATGTGGATGGAACTGGCTGTGTTTATAGAGTTACTTACTCCGCTTTCAGATTTTCCCGTGTTTCTGGTACTCTTGAAGCTCATGGACAAGAGAAGGTAACATAAATATTTCAGTCATATTTATATCTCTCAATTTTAAAATAAGATTTTAAATGAGAACTRAATTTTATCTGATAATGGTAATATGTTGGCATTTCAATCTTGGGTTCTGGAGTATATCAGGTAGTCAGTATCTGCTTATCCCAGCTGCTAAAGTTCAGCTGAGTTGATTATAAGAATTCAAGCAATCAAATTACTTGATTTCAAAGTGGTGGTGTGTTTGTGTTACTGTTGAGAGTTTTTTTAAGGACAAATTATTTTAGCACATAAAATTGTTTGAAATGTTTTGTAAAATTCCAGACTAAAATGGCAAATAACACTGGGTTTTTACAAAACTAGTGTGAGAACCTGATTCCTTTCCTTGAAGCATTCTTGCCATACTTGTTCAAGAACAGTTGTCTGTTCCTAAAGTTGGTTTAATTTGACTTACAATTTTATCTCCTGGCCAGTAGAGGGTTTCATAACCACAATTATAAAGCACATCCAAGGACAGACTGAATGGGTTTGTAAGGGTCTTCCCTCCCTCATCTTCTCCCACAATGCTACTTCAGTATTCATCTTCATGAACACCTATCTTTTTATTGTTATGGACTCTTATGACATTATTTCTACAGAGATACAATTTTTAATCTATTTATAAGAATAAAAAACTTAGTCCTGTGCAGTTTCATACTAATTTCATAATAATGCTAGCCATTATTTGAATTTAAACAGTTGTATTTGCTTTAGCAATCCTAATTCAGGCCTATGTGATTAACATTTACRTTATTGATATGTCAGGCTGTTGGCTGGAGCTGATAAGGTACAGTGCTATCATGATTTGCTGTTTCTTTGCAGTGGATATGATGTTTGACTAATTAGAAATAGTTGTAGTGATCTATTCTTATCTGCTGCTCTCCTTCTCGTCTTCCCTCAACCTCAATTCTGAAAACCATGCAAGTTTATTCGTGATTTAAGCTGGTACAGGACTACATGGAGACAARCCTTTGTTACTTAGGTGACCTTTAAGGATTATCAAATTCATAGATTTCTAGTTGGTTTAAATTTCAGGCCTTCTAGTAATTGTAGCACAGTGTGCTTACAGATTTGGAGCTGGAGGAAATCAGTTGTTCACAGCTTAGCTGCCAGATGAAGGAAGSCTTTTTCAGATGCATGTATTTCCCTTCCTGGACCCCTTTTCCTCCATTTTACAAATAGAAATAATTGTGCCAGCACTTGCTGACTTCGCTTAAAGCAGATTATCTGGACTCAAATTTTGTTTAAAATTGCTTGCACAACCTATTTCATCCAATTTTTTCCACTTGTGAGCCAAGGAAAACTAGCTAGTTGTATAGTTTTCTGCAAGATCACCTGTGTGTGCCATGTGTGTTTTGTTCTTTGTAAATTTTGTGCTGGCTGAACCATAACTTTGTATAGATAAAATTGTGAAGATGTGAAGATTAGTAATGCTCTGCAAAATTTTTCTCTTTTTTTTCTTTTTTCTAGGTTGCTGTAATCTTTTTACCTAGAGATAAAGGAGACTATTCCCAGTTCTGGGACCTTGAGTGTCATCCAGTTGAAAATCCGAGCTGGAAACACAAATTAAAATTTCAACTTTCTGGAAAAGTGAGTATATGAAAGTTCTAAATAAATTTTCTTGAGCACAATTTTTTTATAACATCTTGATTTTACTATACAGTACTCTTTCTTACATACACTAGTATATTCTGGAAAAACCTCAACCCTGCTAATATTTTTGCTGGGATAAATTGTATTTTTTTCTTATGGTACAAAAACATCTTCCTCCATATGTGTTAATGCTTTATTTTTTGCCATTTATGATATAAAACTTTATTTTACTCAGAGAAAGTAGAGACAAACTTACCTTCTAGGGGAATTGTTTCTGTAGACAAAGATTTATTTGTAAGTTTTATTTGGTTTTTTGTTTGTTGGTTTTAGTTTTGTAAATAAATAATGAAGGAACTGACCTTTGCTATAATACCTAAGTCAATGCCGTTTTGGAATTTTCAAATACCCATATTGGAGATATCTGTATGTCTCTAATGAAACATGCTTCAGTATTTTAKCAGAATAACAATGTAGATGGGGATAATTGTGAAATTTGTGCATGGGGAGAATTGGGTTTGAGCTCCCTGTTCCCCTGTTGTTCCTCAGCTCAAAGTTTATGATAAGGCTTGGAAGAAGTGTGGGTTGGAAGTTAGAAGTGGGTTGGAAGGTTTTCTGTGCTCTCTGTCCTTACCTTGCTTTTTATCCCTACCTCACCATCCATACAAGAGGAATTTACATAGGACAGAGGATTTATAACTATAAGGAAGAATTAATTCGAATGRTTAGTTAAATAAGCTGAATGTGAAGAGCTTTGTACATTCAGTATGATATGATTGCTATGTATGCTTTGCTGTCCTCTCCAGAAGGTTTGACTTGATTTTTCTAAGAAGTCCAAGCAAAGATTTGGGATCTTTCTTTAGAGAACCAGGCATGCTTCAGTAATAGGAATCTTACTTATCCTTGCTGAGGTATTTTACATTTGTTTTGTGGGTTCCTTGTTCTTTTCAATTGAATTGTGTTGAAAGAGTACTTGTAAAAAGGTTTGTGTTAAATAACTTATTTTTGGCATGAGAGTCCTATATAGCGTTCCGTTTTGGAGGGCTTTTTATTCAGTTTTCATCAAAATCTTTGATCATAATTTTYCTGAAAAAGAGGAAAGCATCTATATCATTTGTCTGTTTAAAGCTACTTGAAAAGAGGAGAAGATKAATTCTCTAACAGAAATCTGGAGTTTTAAAGAATTCTCTTCTTAAAACGTGACTAGTTGTCAGAGTTGTGTAAATCCTTGAGCGGCATAACTTGATATTAATGTTTTTGAGCTACTGTGTCAGATATGTTCTTGATTTTTTTCAAAGCTGTTAGCAATTAGATCTTTGCAGCATCTCTGAACATGGGAAAAAAGTTTGTAGAGAATACTTGAAATGCATGTCACGATCATTTCCAGTAAGATTTGAAAAGGAAGCACTGTATTTATCAACTAGRTAAGGAGCTATACATCAGAAGAGGGATCAATACAGAGTGTTTACTTAGAATGTTGCACATTTTAGTTGAGAAGACAAATGAATCATAATATGTTATGYTCTAGAGATTGAGAGTTTAAGCAGTGTTTCTAAAACTTCGAAGAGAACTTGGATCTGGTGGTTTTGCTGAGGCAGGGGGCTACAGCTGTGGTTAATGTGACTTTTGATAGAATGAACTGGGAAGAGTGGCTGTCATTCAGAATGACTGAGTGGTATTTATTTATAGCACCACTTCAAAAGAAATGAAAGATTTGGAAGAGCTCAGGAAGGAACTAAAAGAACAACATTAAGTTAGGAAAATCAGTGGCACATACCACTTAAATTTTTTCCTGACAAATTAATTAACTATAATTTTGATTATGCTCTGCATGTGCTTGCAGTCCTCACCATTGGAAACTATAGTCAGGAGCTCAGATTATCAAGTTTCCAAAACCAGTCCCAGAGACAAAGAAAGGAGGGATTCTACATWTGCTTTGCAGCCCCAGCCTCTCAGTGCTGGTCATTCAAACTTAGTTTTGCCTTTTCCTGAGGAACATTTCTTAGGCTGCTGTTGGGGTCTGTTCTAAGATCATTGAGCTAAGAGTGAGTGTTGTGCACACAAGTCTTGGGCTGGTATTTAGGTGTAACTGTTGGTCCCTTCTGGGTGAACTAGCAAGCACTCTTTTAGCATGTAGAAAGTAGAGGACTTTGTAAAGAACCTCTGCTATTTTTTAAAGATACTACAAATGTTAAATGTATGCCAWTTTTTAATTTACATGGTTTATGTGCTTAAAAATTTATGTAGTTAAACAGTTTGTGTAGGACTTCCTTCATTCTTAACACAAGACGTATTGCTAACTTGGAGGTCTGATCTGATTATTACCAGCAGCACAAAGCTTCATCATCTTTGTCTACCCCAGAAATGAAAGGAGGGAAAACCTGTTTTTAACTCTGGGAGCAAAATAATTCCAGTTTTCAAGCTATGTGAATTTCTATGTTTCTGAGGTTATTTTGGAGCTGCAGCACTCAATTGTAACCATTTGGAGTGTTAATGCACTCTTGTCATTTGAAACAGCAGAATTCAGTACAGGCTGTGGTAAAGCATGCAGTACTTCAGGATGCCCTTATAAAGACTAGGGTAACTTCTGATCATTTTCCATGATGTACCTTATTCTCATGCAGTCATCTTGCCTTTTGATAAATTAGAATTTGAATAAGAGAGGCATGACACCCATTGTTTCCCACTATGTGGAAAAATAAAGGCTCTTGAAACAAGATKTGCAAATCCCTTCTTGTCTTCATGTATTGGGTTCTACTGGGGTTCATGGGTTATTTGCAACTGAAAAATATATTCTTTAAAATAAGTTGGGATTTTTTTATGGCTGCTGCTATTTCTGACAGACTGATTAGCAGCTCTTTCAATAGAAGAAATGAATGTCTAAAAGACAAGTTTGTCATAGCAGCTCTATTGAAGATGAATCTATTTTTTTCATCTTCCCTGCGTCAGGGAATCAACTGCTTGTCTAAAACGTCAGCACCATTTCAAAAATTGACATAATGTTGTACAACCATAAGTGTAGGAGGTTCTTTTGGTTCTTTAACTTYGTTTAAGATGTTATGACCCAAGGGGACTCCAAAGAGTATCTGGCAAGATTCCTTAAGCAATGCAGAATTCAAATTTGGTTATTTGTCAAATTATTCCCATTGAGTGATCTGGTGTCGTTGTGTTAGCATACTCTAAATGGGGATATTGGTGATGGTAAATATTTTGGCCTAATTTCTGRATGTAGCAAGTACCATATAGTGCATTATCTGATCCTGTCTCTCTGGAGAGACCTTTCTTTGAGAAGGATGTATTGTTCATAATATAAAAGTATTACAAAACTTGTTACTGTTTTGAGAATTCAGATCATAATGCTGACTTAGGTCTTCCTTCTTTCTGAGCAGTTGYTTAGCCAACTTGGTTGTTCTTGAGGCATATGGGCATACTATCTGCAGAGGAAGTGRGGAGATTTTGGCTTTTAGTAAAATCTTGGTTGCTTCCTGCCTTTTTGAGATTCCACCTGCACTGCTAGTTTGTTGTGAACTGTCTTGTAATAAAGAAGTATTTGTAAAGCACAAGAACCTGTTGATGTTTTCCTCTTAAATAATTGCTTCCATCTCAGTGATCCAGACTCTTGTGCTCCTGAAAGATTGTTCTTTAAATAATCTTTAAAAGTCTTGGSTTGAGTAAGGGGAATGGCTCACATACCTCAATTTTTAAGAACTATTGAATGCAAAGTTTACAGTCTTCTCTGTTTTTGCCAATAGAGTACTAAAACAGGAAACGAAACACCAATTGGGAAAGCTTCTGCAAGTCCCYGTACAAAAACTGAGCTTCCAGTTACACCAGAAATGAAGGTTTACTCTGAAGGACCCCCAGTAAGAATAAGGTACGTATGGATAAAACTTGAAAAATGTGTCTGCAGCTGGGTAAAATGGTGTGGGGATAGAACCCAACCCCACAACCAAAACACTTTTTAATATTGGGACATCTTTGTGGTAGAATAGGCTTTACAGAGAGTCTCTGCAGTGTCTGTCCTCAAAGATTTTTGGGATCTAACTGGACAGCTTGCTCTGACCTCACATCTGACCCTGACTGGAGCAGGAGTTTGACCTACAGACCACCTAAGTGGCTTCTGACCTGAATGAGCCTATGATTCTATTAAAGAGCAAGCAGCTGTAAATACCAGACTTCTCAAAACCTCTTAGTGGCTTGGTATTGTTCAATCTTCCATGTTTGTTCTTTTTTCAGTTGAGTTTCTAAGTTGTCCGTGATATACTGTGGTAAATGAACTGGTATTGGCAGTAGAATTTTGTGTATTCTTTTTGAATATTTGTCTTTTGGACACTCCAGTTTTCTATARAGTCAGTTCTGAGAAAACCACAGTACTGCATGTCTTAACCTTGCTCTTCTTCAGGCTTAAGTTAATTGTCAGTTCTTTTACTACGGGATGATGTGAGTATGGCAGGGGAGTAAAATGGTTAAACCTGGAATCTTTGATAGGAGTCTAGGTCTCTGGTAAAGCATATGGGAGAAAAATTCAGATTGTGAAAGTGTGTATAAGTAAATTCCTGTATATTTATGTCACAATAATGCTTTCAGTATCTTTTCTGGCTAAAATATCTCGCCTATAAAACTTAAGGTGATGGAGTTGATGTTTKCGGGATTGTTCAATTTTTCCTAATTTATTCTTAGAAAATACACTTATTACTTCAAGTATGCAATCAATATATCTAGATCATGTAGGTCAAAATGTTAATATCTTAAATCCCTTTTTCAAATCAGACCAAAAGAGATAATTCAAGGAGTATATGCACCAGAAGACCTCTATGTTTTTCCTCCAACCAGAGTTGGAGAAACATGCACATTAAAGGTCAACTTGCGAAATAATTCCTTTACAACACACACGGTAAGTTTGACAGACTTTATCTTAAATAGATACTTTAAAGTCCTTTCAGTTGTTGAACTGTACTGTTTTTTTCTCTTTTATTTTTGACAAGGATTGCCATAGTACAAGTCTTATTTTGCTAGTTCTATAAGTCAATATTTGAAGATTTTTTATCCTGTAATTTTTCTCTTTCATCTGACTGAATAACTGAGTGTATATATTAATATTAAYGTATTCATATGAAAATATAGTATATCATAGGTTTTATATTAGTCTGATTTAGTGATTTTTTCATTTTTTAACTTCATTAAAATATTGAGATAAATGTTTTTTTTCCTTACTTGAATGTTCACAAATGTGGGCATTCTTTATTTTTAAATCCTGGGTCTGTGTAAAGCAGTATTTGTAAGTGACCTGATATATCTTAAGCATGTAATAAATTGAATATGATAGGCTTAAATATAGTGCATTTTTCAGCATTTTGTATTAAATTACAGCTGAAATTTGTAAGTCCCAGAGAGCCTTTCTACATCAAGCACTTCAAATACTCTCTAAGGTGAGTAATGCATATGCTAACATTCTCTCCTAACAAAAAAATGAACCAAGATAATCAGTAAGATAAATATCTTCTGTATCTGTTCAATGCTAAAATGTAGATAGAAATATTCTGGATGTCTAATTAAAGGGTTGGGAGGTTTTTGTTGCTTTTGTTTATAGTTAAAGGTTTGGGGGTTTTGTGAGGTTTTTTTTGATTGGGGTTCTTTTTTTTTTTTTT